TATATATATATATAGTTTAATGTATCGAATACAAAAAGTCACCTTACTCACCGCTCATATTCGCACCCGCCATTATTCCAGTTACACCGCTGAAAAGCACGCCGAAGACGCTCGCAAAATCCGTCAATGTCCCGCTGCTTGAATAATCGGCGCTGTAATTCGTATAGAGATTGTTGTAGAGCGTAGAAGACAGAAGACCTGTGTAACTTCCATTCACGTGGTCCGTTGCATTCTGCACCAACATGTTCGCGTCCGGTATCGGTATCTGATCGAAGGAGTAAGTTTGATCGGTTACATCCAATTAGTTACAGCTCAATTGCGATTATACCAAATGATTAGATTTACGACAAAAAATTTACATGTTTCAGATACATGTATAAAATTACATTTACCTCCATAGCGCCTTGCGCCAAGAAACTGATGAAAACACTGATTAGACAGATACAAACGACCGCCAAGATCGCGACGCTGGTTTTCGCGAACATTGCGGCTCCGATTAGACAAACCAGAAGATTGGCGGTGTTCAATAGAGAACAGTATAAAAATCTCCACCACCGGCCATCTGGTATGAGTCCACTCGTGCCGCTCAGGTAACCAGATGGCCCGAAGTTCTCAACCAAACCCTCAGCGCAGCCGGAAATGCAAAGCGCGCTGGAGACTATATTGGCCATAAAAAAGAGAGTGCCGATGGAACCGCCAAATTCAGGTCCTAACGTGCGGCTGATCATAACTGCATATTGATTAATCGGAAAAATTCTTTTTAAAATGTCCGATAAATTTCACGCTCTTAATTATCAATATAAAAAATTCATATTTCTACGATTTCCTATTGAGCTTCTCAATTATTGCACCAGCATGATGATACATGAAACATGAGCAAGACATGGATAATAAAGCAAATCAATCCACTGATAAGCTATCTCGAAATGACAAACTGGTGTAGCTTTATTTCTACCAGATAAAAAATATAGGTTGAATGGTGTTCATTTGATGGAAATAATATACAGCTGTTGCTGTGTTGCTTGATAAAATAAGGATACAATAAGCACCGCCGCCTTCCACTGCGCCGTTGGTCGATATAGCGCAAACAGATGCGACCGTGAATAATAAAATACCATATGCAATTATAAATTGCGTCAGAGTAACGAGTAATCCTGCATTGCCGACGATATATCCTGCAAAAAATTAATAATTTCAGCCGGTACTACAGAATACAAGACTTTCATCCCAGAGAGCACGATGAATTCTTCAAATGTTCCTAAAATGTTCTTCTTTCCTGAATTGTAATTTTGAATTGTTATTCTTAATAGAAAAATATTATATAATATAAAAATGATCCTGGAAATCACTTGCATCATGATTGGAATTCCTAAGAATTTCCCGAAGTATTTATATAGAATGACTTTGTGTCGATGGATATTTATTTTAAGAAAAATAGTATTTATGAACAAAAAGAGGAATACAAAATATCCAATAAATATTGAGAATCGATATCTTCAGATATTCATCTTTCTCTATCTCTCTCTCTTTCTTTCTAATTCTATATATATTCTATAAAATGAATTCTCCATGGCTGATATTCATAGCCGGATCTTATATACAAGACCGTCTTAAGTTCATCTTCAGATGCTGTACGACTTATTTTGTTAGTTACGAAACATCTGAACTTTAAACAGTTTTAAACATAAGAACATAAAGATAAGAACATAAGATCTAACTACGAATACCGACCTATAAACTTTTCCATTCACCTCTGTGCTATCTGGGATGTGAACTGTTACTCACCCATTCGTATAAAAACTAAGGCACTGAACATAGACAATGTGACCGGACTGAAGACGCCAGCGAAGGTTCCTAATGTACGAGTGCTATCTATACCCAGATTGCCAAACTCGACGTAGCCGTCTCCTTCCGGATGTTGCATTCTCCTGGTCTTGAAGATATTGCTTAATCGTTGAAACATACTTCTGCCATGAATCAACGGGGCTTTTTCGCTTGTGATCCTGACTTGTACAGGCTCCGTATTAGTGGAGCCAACTTCCGACGCTATCATCTCGATATTGCTAAACAAACAATATTCCCATATACCTCAGATGAAGTTATTTCAGGCGAGCCGAGAGAGAATCGTTCTTTGTGTTTCGCGATCTGACACGTTCGTAACAATGACGCAACGCCTGGGTTTACGTAGGTGTCAAACATTAGCACACGGAAGCAAGCGGAAACAAATGGACGATTCGATGAGAGACAGATTCGATCAACTCTCGAACACTCACCTAGGCCTTCCTCGTGCGCATTGGAAAATACAAAACGGTATATATAATCGAGTTAGAGTCGTGGGAGATGATGTCATGCGTTGAACGTCAACACTCTAATGTTAGCGTTCAGTTCTCATTGCCCGCGTCGAGATACGCGTTATAACACGCGCGCTCGACCAATCAAACGCACGTTCCCCTCGACGCGCCCGCTAACGCTGAGGCACGTCACTCGCAGCGCCCTAAGATTCGGAGATTCACCGATATTAAACTCACACTCGTTCGAACGACAACACATCTCTCGGTTTGAGGTTAATAAACCTGCGCGCGTTACCAGGAAACGCTCTTTCCCTTATCGCATAGTCTACTTTTTCTCAAGACTGCAACTTATCGTACACGACGTGTGCTAAACCAGGTTGGCAAACGTGTACGGAGAATTCCCTAAGATTTGTAACCATATTCAGCCCATAGACGTAATTCAGCCAGTTGATTTGATTCGAAAGTTCCCCACCAGATAACGCGTCGTAAACTTTGCGAAACATGGCGTCTTTTCGGATCCGAATGTTGATACGGTAAGATAAGAATTGGTTGTTCTCCGTATTTCAAATTTCGTATCCAATCGCTCTGTATTTATAGTAATTAACAAACTTTGTATTCGTGTATTTACCTCGTGCGTTATCGATTCGGAGAATATGTTCCAGAACTCTCGTTACAGGTTCGGTAAGGGTCGCCGCCGAACTTTTTAACGATCGTAACCAACGATCGAAACGTCTTGATGTAGAAATTTATCGATGCAGTGTGTACCGCTTATTGCGTCTCTTGGCGCATATACATTTGAATTTGGTTTGTATTAGTCTTATCTTATCATTAGTTTAATTCTTCATAATTGTATAAGAAACTAATAAGTTATAAGAAAAAATCATTATCTACCGTTATCTCTGTTTGCTTTATTTCGAGTCTCCATTCGGGCGTTTCAATTTATTCTATTTTATAAATCGGATACATTATCAATTTGTGATTCTTCGTAACAGAAATGTTTCCAATCCTCACCAGGTTCCTCTTCTTTCTGTAGCTCGATGGGAAGAAGTTCTTTATCTTCAACTTTCTATTGCGCAGAAAATAAATAAAATATCAAATGTATGATAAAATTAATAACAGCTGATAATTATCATTCGTTCATACTTTCATTTGTAGTTTTTCTCTACTGATCAACAGTTCCAATTCTTTCTCTTTTTGACGTATACTTTGTTCTTCGCAAATCTAAAATTTACATATCCGATATAAGAAAAAGAAAATATTTTGTATAAGTTAACACTTATTTATAAGATTCTGGTAAATTTTATGTGATCTTATATTTTTCGCATATTTTCTATATAACGTTGCAAAAAAAGATTTCTGTGTTCCAGAATTAACTGACTTTGAAATTGAGTAACCAATGGCCCAGGTACTCTACAGGATCAGCCGGTTTCGTTGCTATGATTTCGCGAAGAGCTTCGATCAAAGGTTTGCTGAGAACACGTTTTAAATAAAGACTGCTCTGTGACAAGTGCGCGTCCAACAATGAATCGCCGGATATACTGGAATCAGTTGAGTCATTGCTTTTGCTGACTTGATTCTTCGCTCGCCACAGATCTCGTAAGTTCCCAATGTCGTTGTCATCGAAATACAAAGCTTTCAAAAGCCTATGGAAGTAAAAACAATTAAACAAACCTGAAAAACAATATAAAAGCAGTCTGTATGTGAATTTTTATTTTGTTGTTTGAAATTGAAGAAAATTTACTTGTTACAAATCCAAATAGAGAAAATGTCAAATTATGAACATAGGTAATTTTTTAATTAAAAAAAAAATTATATTTTTGCAAAAATCAATTGAACATTTTTACATAAAAATATAATTAATTATACACTATTATAAAAAGAAAGTTAATTACATATTTTTACATAAAAATATAATTAATATTTATTTTCAAGAAATTAACAAGAAACATTTCAAGGTTGTTTATTGATATTAAATTAGTAACTTGCAATATTTTTATCAAATTGCAATTTTCACTGATATAAAAATTCGAGATTCATGTTACTAAAACTAACCTGACATACTCATCCGTGAGATCGGTATTAATCAACTTTTTCACGAGATCTTCACTCAGACCCTTCATCCGTAAAAATTCCACGATATTTTTATCCGCTTCGTTTGCATCGAATTTCTCTACTTCCTCAATCACACGCATCTTCTCTACCGATTTGCCCGCCTGCTTTCTTTCATCTTGCTCATGAAAATTTGCATCTCCTCTTTGTCGTTCCTCTGAAATCGTGTCATCGTTAACTTCCTGCATCTTTAATCTTTTTTTAGCGATCTCCTTAACATTCTAAGCTGCACGAAAAAAATTTTTCCTTTGTCGTAGCAGATTGTTTATCACTATAGTGATATCGAAAAAATTGTTACGCGGAAAAAAATAATTTTGCTATCACAACAAAACGTCATACGGCAATAAAATTTAGTTGGCACAATTGGCGGCAGTTGATACTCTTAACAAATCTTTTTGCCGTCCAAACAAATCTCGCCGTGCTAACAAAAACTTTTTCTCCCGGCGCAAAGCTCCTATTTAATCGCCAACTTCTCACATCATTTCGCAGCGATCGATCGACGTGACTATGACGAGATTATAGAACGGACGTTCTCTCAAGGTGAACCTTGAACATAATTTGACGAATCGAATATCGAGGGAAGGAGCGAATAAAAAAAGGATCGACCGATAGCTTCCGCTCTCCGAGACTTCACGACGAAGTTCCACGCGCTCGCTGAAGCGCGGCTTTTCCTCGCTCGCTCGCTCGCGCGATCGCTCAAAAAATTCGCGTGGGTTAACGCGGTGAGGCCTTCGCGGCGTTTAACGAACGGATGGATCTTCCTGCACTTAAATTTGCATACCGAGCCATTTACCGTCGTACGTGTCGACGGAGTCGCGCTCCCCGGTGTGCGGCGGCAGTCCGGATTTTCTGTCCGCGCGATTACGTAAGAATTAGCGCAACGCGTGCACCCCGGCAGCGCGCGATGTGGAGCGGAGCGGTGCCTTGCTTTTCGCGCCGGGTCTTCGCAATTTATTATACACACGCTCGCGCGTTTATGTATTTTAATGCAACGACCTCCTGCCATTTTGCTCGCGACGCCCGCGTCCAAACGGACGCGCGTCGCTAATCGAACCGCTCGTAAGACCGACGTAGCAGGCCCGCGTTGTCGTTGCTTTTTAGGACACGTTCGCAGCGATATACTTTTCGCGGAAAACAATACGAGCGATCTTAAACAGACAACTCGCGGAGATACGAGTACGTCGAGCGTGAGGTTTCCTTGGAACATCGCGTTAACACGACAGACTGGCGCGCGTTTGAGCGCGTTAATATTGCTTTCGCAGCCGATAATTTTTCGCCTTTCTAAAACTGGAAGCCGTACACAACGAACTTAAATTTGTAACTGGTTGCCGCAGAGTTTTGTCGTTGAAATAAGAATGAAAACCGGAAAATTTAAATATCGCTTTAAGATATCGTGTTTGTAACTACATATTATTTGAAATTGAAGATAATTTACAAATCTGCTACAAATCCAAGCGGAAAAAAATATCAAATTACGAACATAGGAAATGTTTAAGTAAAAAACTCAAAATTTATTATTTACGTTTATGAAAAAATTAGTTGAACGTTTTTACATAAAAATAAAATTAATTATATACTGATATATAAGAGGATAATTAATTGTATACTTTTATATAAAAATATAATTTAAAATTTCATTTTGATATAAATTCGAAAATATTTTTGCCTTTATGTAAAAAAAAATTGTAAATATTTGCATACGTAAACAATTAATAAAGAAAAACAAATTGCGTTCCTAATGCGATCTGAAACTTGTAGTCAAAAAATGTGTTGCAACCTTTTGTGACTGGCCGTACATAACTGATGGTTTCGTCGTCCGAATTGATCGATCCCCGTATTACTTTCTCGAATTATTTAAGAAGGTTTAATGTATCAGGGCACATTACCATTACCAAATTCCATCGTCAGCGAGAACAAAGGCCTCGCTTTCTAACGAGGTTTAACTGTTGTTGATCTATCGAGCACTTGAGCCAAACCGATGAAAATGGGTCATCTCGTAAGCTGCTCCTATTAAAGTATCTCGCGGCGCTTCATAATTCGATTGAGAAAAGCGCGCGCGCGATGAGGAAATCTTATTTCCAGCAATTTTCACTGCACCAGCAAGGGGGAAACAGCTAATTGTGGATTTCCCTGGAGAGATAATTTGCAATTTCGAAAGGAATTCGTAATGGCGAGAGTAATTAATTGTTTCTCTCTAATTAACGTTAGCGCGTATAAACACACGGAAACGCGCGTTTTTCGCAAGCAGAACGGACGTGCCATTCGTCAGACGTGTAATATGAATCTTTCCGTCTTATTTGTCGACAAGGTCACATTTTTAGGTCAGGTTAAGTCAGATGATTAAAGGGACAAAGGGATTCCGTGCGACAAACTTTCCGTATCAATCGCGGCATCGAGATCATTCCGTAATTATTTTCAATAGGCAGTCTCATTGCGCCTCTGCTCTTGAAAGCCGGCTCCATTATGCTCACGTACAATGCTCGAATTATGGCGTAATAAAGTTTAATGATTTCAAAAGATTCACAGATCCTCGCTGTCTCAAACTGGCCGACTCGAGCGCAGATACGCGAGGACGCGTCGCGTATGTACGCGTATTTATTTCGCAAATCATACTTCGAAAATCATTCGATGTCGCATGAGACTCTCCTTCGCGTTTTTAGAACTCGAATCGAAATTTTGATGCTCCTTTGATGTTTTTAAAGATAGTTTGCGCCTACTTAGATGGCCTATAGATTAATAAAATTTTAATTTACCAAGAATATCATAATCTTTTTAGAAGATTCTTAATCTTGCTTTGATTGAATTTGTATTGATGTAAGTATTACTTGCACTTAATTCCAAAATTTTCTAAGAATATTATAATATTCTTATTTATATATGAGAATATCTATTAGTGATTTAAGACTTTATCATATACTGACTCTTTTTAACTTTTCTCTTGAACCTATAATTCTCCAAATTGAATTTTAATGCTACTTTTAACAACCTATTTTGACGTTAAAAAACAGCGAAAATGGAAATTTAAGACATCATCAGGGTCAAAATAGACGTATTATATTATATTATTATACACAGAAAAATATTACTTGTGCTGCGAAGAAAAGCAAGTACTCGAATAATTGCTTTTCTTCGAAGTATAAATAATAATTTTCTCTGTGTAGAATTGAAGTTGAACTTATTTTGCCATCTTAGCTCCTATGTTGTAACTTAAAGGTTTAATAACGGGCCGAAATTTCGACTCGTCAAGTCTCTTCGGCTTTATCCGCTTAACTAGCTTTGCACATCTAACGGGAGTATCGCAAACGAACTTAGCGTGAAGTTGCGCGATACGGGCTATCTTATCAGTTTCGCGATGCGATCGGTATAAAATTCAGCCGAGATACGAGCATTCGGGACAGGATAAGTCGTGTGATAATTTTTCATACCTTGGCAATGATTGTCGCATACCGTCGGATCGAGCTCGCGACTTGAAAAACCGGAGACTTGCTTGCTTTTGCGGCGGCCGCGATTAATTGCGAATTAATTCGCAAGTCGCAATACGGGACCTCGAAAGTTTTTCATTGACGTGCAAATCGTGCTCATAACGCTTAACCTGGCGATGTCACGTCGCCGTCATCGATCGAAATACACTCTTTCGAGATATCTCGCGTTTATTGAGACGCCGGAGGTTTTTATTTTACAAAAAATGCACGCGATAATTGCGGAATGAATATAAGAAGGAAAAAAGGAGAGATTATAGACGCAAGGTTTCCGCTAGCCGTCCGCGTATTTCCATGTTTTATTGAGTCGATAAACAGTTGCATCACGCGGAAAAAATAGCAAGCGCTACTTTCAGCGCGCGTTATCGTTGAACTTTTATCCTGAAATATGCCTGCGTCGCATTAAATATTCCTCCGGTGCGAAAATCCCGACGAGGTTTCCACGAGGGTTTCAAGTTGTAAAACGTAAAATACGGCTGTGCGCGCTTTTGCCGCGGCGAACCCGCGTCTTTTCTTGTGCAACTTTCCAAGCGAGTTCCACTGACGCCTACCTACGCGACATAAACATGCGTCCTGCGCTTAGAAGTGCGCGGGCCTGCATTCAGTCGGCATTAGTCAGCGCCGGTAGCGTTGCGATTTATTAAACGAACTTTCGATACCAAGAATACCGCGGCTTTTGCCGGCATTCGCGCATTCCTCCCGTAAAGCTCGAGTTTGCTCGTAAAACCTCATCGAACTCGCGTCTCGCTTCGCGACTCGCAAATGCGCGCGCACACCGTAAGACATCCTTCTTATTATTAATTTCCACTAATTAACGACGTCTCACGAAACGTCTTACGAAATGTCTTACGCTTCCGAAATCTGTCGCGGAAACCCCCCCTCCCCCAAGTCGAAAATCGCATCGCTCGAATACAAACGCGGCCGCGCGCACGACCCCCGGCAGTTCAAACGTCCCGCGCGGCTCTCAGCCAATCGCGCTCGCCGCTGAGCGTGGCGCGAAACTCGCACGAGGCGCGGAGACGGCCGAAGGACCGCGACAGCGGCCGAACTTGAGCGCGACGGCCCGCAGTCGGCCGGCGTGGCTCGCGGTGATAGGGTGAGAAATTTTGCGTCGCTCGCTCGCACGCAACGCACGTCGAATTTCGATTCGCGCGTGTCGCCGGCCGCGCGATCAATTTTGTGAAAGTGTATCGCGCCGAGGCCGGACTTCTGCGTCTTCGACCTACGTCTTACGATGGTCTGACCCATCGGAACGGACAGACGGAGAGACGCACTTACGTAAGTAAGAACCACCCCTTACCCGCGTATTTGCGCGTCGAAATCGCGAATCTCCTGCGCGACATGCCCGTCGCGATCCGATCAATCATCAGCGGTCTCACGGACGAATCGTTACCGTCGGCGAGGCGTCATTTGCACACGCGAGCTCTCGAGCTCTTACGTAAGCTCACGCCGCTACGCTTTCGGAGAACGAAGCAAATATTTGTTGACGTTTTTTTTTTTGATATTGAAGACGAGAGAGAGAGAGAGAGGCGAACGTGGCCGTGTTTAGATTTGTATAACCGCCGTAATCCGCGCGATAACGCGCCGCAAGTCACGCGCGCGCGATTGCACTCGGTGACACCGGCGGGGCGACGTGTAATCGCCACGACTCACCGTCGACATCGTCATGCCTAAAAATTGCCCCCGAGATAATGCGAGTCCGATTGTAAGACGCGAATAATTTCGCTAATACCCCCTTCGATCGGTGACGCGCTTAATTGCCGCGCCGCGACGTTCCGCCGCGGCTCGCGCGTCGTTCCCTCCCGCGACGGCGCCGACGGCTACGAGAGAAGCGCGGATCCTTGGCCCGTTTCGTCCGGTAATAAAGTTATTAATGATCCATACCCCGCGCTAGTCACAGACCGCGGCACACGCGATGTAATCTATTCGGCGGCGGTGAAATGATCCTCTAATCTACAAAATCTACTTTCCCGATCCTTCCCTCTCTCCGCTCCCTCCCCCCCCCCCTCCTTAGGATCCTCCCCGTCGAGGCTAGTCGCGCGAGGGGATTCTATTTTCGGGCGGGCTTTCTCGCGCATTCGAAAGCACGAGCGAGAAGCCCGCGCTGAGAAACTTAAGAAGCCTGCGATCGGCCTCGTCGCGGCGAATTTTTGACGGCTGTGATTTTTAGAAATGAGCCGGGCCGCGCGCGCGCTAATTGATACTCGTTCTTAATGACCGTCCGATACGAAACGCGCGTCAGCGGCGCCGCGTATCGCGAAAATTCGCGAGGAAACGCCGAGAGCTCGCGGCATTATCGGCGGTCACGCTTCTTGTCTTTCGTTCGTTCGTTCCTTGGCGTTCGTAAAAAATTCTATCGACGGGAGATAAAAAATGAAATTTTTATTGAACCTCCCGTTGGTGAGATTATCTTATCTGCGCGTTATACGTCGAGGAATCTAATGCGGCTGAGAAAGTCGAATATTGATTCTGCGTATCCGAGGTTGCAAGGAGAGAAAAATGCGAGAAGTACTTCAAGTCGCATCGACGATTTCTCTTTCACCCCGGGAATACTCACTTGGGATCATTTAAATCCCAATTAAAAGTCGCTGTTATTAGCAAAATATAACATATTATCGATTGCCCTGTGATTTCTTATTTAGAGAGATTATAAATCTACTCGCTAATTTAGAGGCATTATAGATCTACTCACTAATTTTTAAGAAAAACGAAGAGGAGGCAAGAAAATATTAAAAAAACAGAATCAAATTCTCGTAATCGTTTACTCGTGAAAAAACTTGGAAAAAAAATAAGGTGACTATTTCCGGGTTAATAGCGATCGAACGATAGTAAGGCTCTTTTAAAAATTGAAATCAGATAAATATAATAAAGACAATGAGAGCCGGGGGGTGTAATTTGCTTGTATACTTTACAATATATCTCCTTATCAAAAAAATCACTATATTCTAATTGAAAGTATTTATCATCGTTTTTCCTGTCTCGTCAGGTTTCTTAAATGATCCTATACCAATAACATGTCACGATCAGTATCAAAATTAATTATTGCGACATAGATTTTTAACTTTGGAGAAAAGACGTATATTTTTTGATGTTTTTTATATTGAATTCATTTAATCGTATGTCGTATCCGAAAATAATATATATAATATAAATAATCGTATCCGAAAATTTTCGAAGCGTTTGGCCAACATGTATCACCCAAAATTACTCGCCCCTTCAATGTCTCACATGTTGAATTTCATCGAACCACATACGAAATATATAACTGCATTATCTTGCATAACCGAATATACGTAACCGAATTTGTATTTTATCTGATAAATGCCCCGAGTGTATTGACTTGTTTCATAATTCAGCAAGTTCTTTCAAGCATAGCCCTCTCGTCATATTAGGATAGGATGTTCACGCTTCCTTAATTTGTATTTTATAATTATTTTTGTGGTACTTTCTGAAAATTATTTCCGTCTACTCTCTTCTTATTAACCCGTTGATAAATAAAGATGGAATGAAGCATAAAATGAATTTTCCTTGGCGATCCTGAAAGTAATCTACTAATCCCGGAAGAGCGGACATCAAATTATCTATAAATGTTATCTGTGCATCCGTCAGCAAGTTCAAAGTTCCTACGCTTCTATTCATTACATTTTACGATTGATCTTTATATGAATAATATCAGCCGAGGATGACCACAAGAAGTGATTGAAACGTTCCGACTGACGTTTTACTGATTCTTACCCGCGTATACTTTATATCGTAAAATACAAGCAAGTTACAGAAAGCACTGCCGTTCGTCCGCCTTTATTATAGATCTGAAAAGCTCGGGAATCCGCCGGATAAACCCGTTTCGCCAGTTACTCGTTGAGATTCAGAACGGAGACGCTTTTTTCTCGCATGCGTTAACGGTCGCAGCGCGCGTTGATTCCGCAGTCCGAGACAAAAGAAGAGGAGAGCGCGTCGTCGCGACCTCCTCCGGAGAGGAATCATCATCGCGCCGACGTCTCTTCGCGTGATACAATTCCGTTAAATTTCCCGAGATCCAAAAATATCGCCGTTGAAGTGGAGCGACCGCGAGAACCTGGGTCGTAGCCAGAAAATCGCCGTGTTTACGCGTGCGGCGCGATAATCGACTTTCTTGCTTTAAACAAAGGCTTTTCCCGCGCTTCGTCGACTTTGTTTCGAGCGCGCGTATCGATACTTTTCGTTCGCTCACGAGAGTGTGAGAAGATACGGATAAATGAGTCACTTTTAATTTGAGTACAATGTTCGAAAGCGTCTTGATTACAGCATACGAAGACGTCATTTCGTTATTTCAAGATGTAAACGTAATTGCTAGGCTCGTTCGTTTTCCTCTTGGCGAAGATAAAAATGAAGAAGACTCAGCGTTTCGAAACCGTAGTCGATGGCTACACGGAAGAAGCTCAGTTCCTGCAAATAAATAGGGACCGGATGAAAAACTGTACGATAAGAAATGAAATTTCGGTCGCGCAAGAAATGAAATTTCGGTCACGCGAGAATTTTTGTTACTCTGTGATTGGGAACATTCGTCCGAACGTTCAGCTGTATTAAAATTCGGTCGAGAGAGTAATTGGCTGAGTAGAAACTTCCTACATGAATCTTTCTGTAACCGTTTCACCTGCACACACCACGAACCCCGAGATAATTATCGGATACTCTGTATATATTCGTTCATCTCTATTGTCAGGCCCATGTCTCCAACTCTCTAACCGCATCACGACGCGTCGATGACGTCTTCGGTGACGGATGAAAATAAGATAAGTTGCATTGTTGCGTGCTCGCTTGAGCCGATACGCCGTGAATCATCCGGCCAAACTTAGACGCCGCGTGTCAATTAAACCAGCTGGCAATTAAACGGCACGTTGATCGTTAATTGTCAGCTACGCGCTCTCCCATGAGCTTGAATTCGTCGAGGGAATCGTCAACACGAAAAATTATTTCGCACTCATCGTGATACGAAACATCGCCGTTTGCTTATCTATCTGCTTAGGTGCGGCCGACGGATGCGGATTTCGAGGCGATATCCGTCTCGCGAACTTCATGCGAAAGTGCAACCCTCCTCGTCGTCGGCTTGATCGAGAGATCGATATTCATTCGCGTCATCGCGCGGTTTAGCAATTAAACGAAGCGCTTGCGCCAGTAAAATGTCTCTCGTCAGCAGCGAGATTAGATTAAGTTCCCTTTGCGTAATCGTCTTCGCTGCGATGGGAATTCGCGAACACCTCGGCCACTTCTATGGGGATCATACAAGCCGAAAGAATTGAGCCGAGAGGCTCGGCTGGAGAAACGTTTGACGAATGTTTGCGCATCTCTGTTCGACGGGGAAGTTCTAATCGTTTCCTTGTCACGCCCGAGTGACTAGTAGTGCTCGTTAGTGCCCTCCTATTATGTTCGTTACGTTCGCGACGGTCGCTTCTCTCTCAGGTGATATGTGTCGGCGCTTATTGTGAAACGGCGGGTACATAAAAGCACCGGTTAAGACGACGTATGTTAACTCGGCACACAAAGAGGTTCCTTTTGCCGGCGACAGCGGTGAGTTGCGAAACTCGTGCACTCGGCGTGTGCGTCACACAATCGTCGCGATCGATCGGACGATCGATCGATCGTCCGTCTTTCGACCCGTCTGACGAGCGTTAATCTCCGCGCGAGGAAATATATACCAAACGTCCCAGACCTATCACCTTTCGTCCGCATATCCTTTGTTGCCAGTTCGAAGTCGACACTCGCGCCAACTTGAAGAGTCTAATGCTTTTGCGAAGTAGAGACCACCGAGTCCCGTATTGGCGGCCGTTACTTAAGATACTTAAATTTAGGCTGTTAATAATCATTACTTGAAACGAGACATTCAGATTTTAGAATATAGATCCGCGTTAATAATCGTTGCTTGAAACCTGTCAGATGCTTCGATTTCAGCTTAGAGTTAGATGCGAGTCCTTCAGCGGGATTGCAAACTTAACGTGCCACATATTTTCGGCATTAAATTATTCAACTGAAAAACTCACACGTAATTCTAAATTTAAATCTGAATATCCCGAGACAAGTGAGTTTCATATAACGACCGTTAATATGGATCTAAGCCTCAGAAATCTTTTTCATCGTAGGTCATTCTTCCTTTTTTCTCCCCTCTCCGATGCTCGCTCCTAGACGTACACTATTACACTTTTTGCGCACACCTCTTCCGCGCCGTGAAAGATTTGCATTCGCGGGCGATTCGCGCTCGAGCGGCTGTCGCGTTCGTTCGATAGGTAGATTAGCATAAAACCTTCAAGCGCGTATTTTGCGTTACGTCGTTCGCACGTGTGCGTCGTTCATTCGTTCGTCGTCGCGAAACGGAATACACGAAACATATGCGGGACTCGCGATACCGCGCACGCACATATATCATGCGTATGATTTTCGAGCGGCGCGCTGATGAAAACAGGGCGCGCTGAGCTAATTGAGCTAATTGCGTTTGTTAGACCACTATTTGCACACGCTGAGCCGCGCGATGCGCTTTAGTACGCGAGCGAGCGAGCGAGCGAACGAGCGTTCTTCTCGTCTGACTCGCCTCGTCTTTGCACAGCGTGCGAAAAGAGATTTCTCTCGTAGTGTATCGGCTTCTCTTTACATTTAAACGCAAAAAGTAGCTTACATCACGATTGTACGACAACGATATTAATTTATTTTTTGCCTCCGAGTGCCGCGAGTGACGTCGATACGGCTACGTGCACGCGCGTGCCTCGAACAACGAAGACGAGGTAGTATCAGGCAAAGAACTCTGCGAAAGTTCGTCAGATTGTCAGCGATACTCTCTCTCTCTCTCTCTCTCATTAGTAATAACAAAATTGTGCATGCTATGTTCAGTCGAGATATCTACTGTTTCATTGTCCACGTCTTCCTACCTTTCGGGGCGATTATCTAATCCCGAGTCTGAGGAAATGATTCACCTTTCGTGCCAATGAAATCACGCGCGATCCGACGAGCTTGTGCAAGTCTCCGATATGTGCGTGCGATCGGCGACGATCGAAGACGTCGGCGGCTGAATGGTTAATCAATCGGATCGCGTAATTGAAGGGAGGAACGCAAGAAACGCGCGTACGAATTATACAAACATCGCGGCACAGCTGTGCAGCGTAATCAGCCTGTCCTGTTAACCGGGTTAATCGCGCCGGCCAACACGATGTGTGTGCCCATGGGTCTGTTTAGCCGCGGGGTTACAAGATTAATCCGGAGGTCACACCACGTGCGGCGGTGTCGGAGTGCACGGCCGTCATCGGTTCTGCATTGCGAGCTCGATTTAAAACGACAATTGTCGCGACGGCGTGCTCTCCTTCGCCGTCGTCGTCCTTTTCGTCCTTGCCAACGAACGATCGCGCTTAATACCTGCGGTGAAATTAGCTTGCAGATCGCGAGGAGGAGCGCGCGCGTGGGAGGTGAGTTATGACGAGAAATCGATGACCGAGGCGTCCCCCGCAACGTCCGTTTCGTCATTCCGTGGCACCGATCGAAATACACGCGCCCCTGTGAATCATGTCGACGAGGACCAGGCGGCCCAGCATATCGATCTACGATTACCCGGAACACCTGAACCCCTTCAACGACGACATAACGAACTCGCAGCCGCCGATATACCGCGAGGGTAAGACGCCCAAGGAACCCAGGAATAAGTTCTGGACGTTCGGCAGAAGCCGCAAGAAACGCTCCCACAGCTTCTCAATCAAGTCTACTTGGTGAGTGTTTCCTTTTTTTCTCTATAGGGTTTTAACCTTCTGATAGTAAGATGGGGTTAGATTGACCTCACAGCTTCGTTTATTTTACAGCGTGCGTTGTTTTCCTTCTTAAGGAATGTTTCATGTTATTATTTTTATTTTCATTTGGTACACTGAACACACGGAAAATGAATAAAACAGAGCATGAAGTCAGATCCGACTTCTTCTCGGATACGTTGAAAATCCACCTTGCCATTAGAGAGTTAACAGACATTATAAGGAAATATGATCGTATAGCTCGTAGTAGACTACACGGTAAAAATAACTTCATTAATATAATACTGAATTTTCTGTTGCCTGTAGGTCTATTATAAAACAATTCTCATGTAACAGGTTATATATATCTAAAATGTCATTCGTTATACGGTACAGGTGTTAGTATAAAATTGCAGTTTACGTAAAACTGCAAGTCATATTCTTGTATTGCTTTGTAAGCTACGATTTTATGATTTATTCAGAAATTTTTTTTAAATTGCAGCATAAATATTCAGACATATATTCTCGATCTGGTTAATAGACATATTTCTCGTCATCGAGTTTTCATCCGGTTCTCACATTCAATTATATGAAGTGAGATTATATTTCCGTTGATATTGAAGATTGAGAATCGCGGAGATTAAAGACTGGAACTCTCGACTGACAGTCAAGATAAAACGAGCTAAAGTCTAAATTGAAGTGGATTTGTTGAATCTTAATATCTAATTCTCGGTCTCTGATACGGGTTTAACGAGCCAAGCCCGTATAACGATCGCTTTTATTCCTTCAAGTTTCCGAATTCCGGAATTGTCGGATACCCGGTGACTTAACTTTTGAAATAAGCATATGCTGCGAAATTTCAAGAGGAAACACTAGCTTTTCGCTCGCGAAGTTGAGACGTTAGCGTTACCGAGTTGAATGAGTCGGCGAATATAAATAAACAACACGTGGGGAATCGGAAGAAAGCTTTCACACGATAGGTGTAAACATGAATGTGTGCAAATGAAAGCCAATATATGATTCGAAGCGAGGGTTCATTAAACTTGCATTCTCGTAAGAGAGTTAGATTATCACTAGCACTGGCATTTGGCTAAAGTCCAAACGACGTATGCACTCTACAACGTATCAAGATATCAGCAATAACTGAGCTTTTTGTTAGTATCGTTATTTTCACATTCGAAAGCCGTGTTTCGATATCACAGATAATAACGAGAGCTTTTCAGGAAATTCCAGAGTCGATCGTCTCTTTCTCTCTTTACTCTGAGACGTCCTAAAAATGTTAACAATCTTGTTCCTAAGAAAGTCTACACTGAGTGAAAAAAATATTAAAAAATTAAAAAATATTTATTCGCGTTGGGTGCTAATGATATATTTCTTCAAATCTATAAATTGTTTTATTTAAATAGAACAAACAATTGCTTTCATGCAAAGCCATAGATTTAAATAAATATATTTTATTTAAGAAAATTATATTTTATATACATTTTTTCTCAGTGTAAAAAAAATATATATATATATATTATTATTACAAATAAAGATGTTATTAATGCCTATCAAATAAATATTTTCTTACTTTTTAGATACTTTTCTCTCACATAAGTAATATATAAGTAAAAATGAATCTACATCCTGAGAATCTTTGCGGAGTAACGCGAGAAGAAGATCGCTGATTTCGATATTAGGCGCGATTACATCGCGCAAAAGTCGTGCTGCATTTTTGCGAAAAGCCTGTACTTCGTACAGGTACTCTCGTGTTCACGTGCCTAAAAATACTTTCATTAGAAACAACGAATGTTCTGGTCTGATTGGCAATCGGAATATCCGAAGAACCGGGAGAGACTCGCTGAAGGATCCGCGTACGCGAGCACGATCGTCAAAGTTTGTCGAAAGTTCGAATTAACCAGAAGCTTAAGAGCACATAGACCGGCGAGCAGAACGCTTCAAATTATCGGTCATGCCTCGTCGGCGAAGTGGAAGTGATATTAAGTGGAATGAGGATGACTATAATCGGCGCTTTTAACAGCCACGAATGCAGAGGACGTTTCCGCGCGCGCGCGATGGCATTTCAGGATTTTAGCTTCTTCTCGTGGAGTTTCGCCGAGAGAAAAAATGGTTAATCTCATGAAGAATTGCAGTTATTTTCGGTGCCAACTACACAGTAATGAATTTTGTGTCACAAACGGTTCGCCCCCAATTTTAAATTACTTTAACGAAGTGAATATGTTAAAAAGTAATATATTAATAAAGTGATTACATTAATCTAACATATTTGTGAACTTTTTAATATATTCTCCCTGCTAAGAAATACAAAAATTTTGGTGGATCGTTTGTAACGGAGAATTTTTTATTGCGTATATCTACTTGTTCTAACGAAAAATGGTAGCAGCGATCTACATGTAAGGTTCTCTCTAAATTTCTTAGAGAGGAATCTTATTCAGACTAAGTGAAAAGGTGGCGGTATTTTCAGTCAAAGCGATGCCGAAAATACGTCACTCGAAATCACAAGAGTGATGTTTCACTCAAGCTCAAAATGGATTCTGACTCGGTAGGAGTGAAAAGTCACTCGAATTCGAGTAACTCAGTTGTTATTCCACTTTTGACCGGTGAAATTTTACTTCATGAAATTTACGCATGCAGAGGACAATATAGTAATACAGGTGATAATTATACGAGTTTTATATGTAGATTTAATGTATATAATTTAATAAACTATTTTATAATTATTAAAACTATATCTAAATAATTACGATAACTATAACTATCGATAAACTATAATTTATGCGGTTAAACTATATCATTCAGTTTTAATTACAGTTTCTAAGAAGTAGTTCGTTAAGATAGTTGTGTGCATTAATCCTACGTACAAATCTCGTATAGTTGTCACTTTTATAATTACCACGACTACATAGAAAAAAATTAGTTTTAAATCAAGAATAGATATTCTCACATGAAGAATATTATGGTCTTGTTAGAAGATTTAAGAATATTATAATCTTGTTAGGAGATTGTTTAGTCTTGAATTAAGTTCAAATAATATTTACATCAATATAAATTCGATCAAATCAAGACTGAAAATCTCCTGAGAAGATTATAATATTCTTGCTCATATATGAGAATATCTATTCTTGATTTAAGACTAATTTTATTCCATGTATGTATTTTTTTCTGAGTGTAGAGTTTATTATCGTTAACTAACTATGAAACTATTAACTAACTATGATAACACTTACTAAAACTGTTCTTCCGATTGCAATTCTCTCGAATTGCATAATTATAATCACAAATACTAAAAACGCTTTTTTCTCAGTGTTCTTTCTCGTTTGTATTTTTGCTCTTTAGTTTTACTCGTTCTCGCGCGGCGAGCCGATCCAACTTCGTCCGCCACCGTTCTCCGGATCCACACTCGATTCTCCCCACGTACCGTAGCGATGCATAAAATAAGAATTCGCTCGTGATGTCATAGGTCGGCCGCGCGTATACGCGACGCGCTACGCGATGATTTTCGCGATTATTTTTAAACTCGTGAATAGGCAAGCGACGTAACGAGCCGCTCGGTTTTGTTTTACCTCGGCTTAATTCCCGCCGACCGACCTGATCGAGGCAAGACGTTTAGGAATAACAAATAATGCGACGTGAGTTCGCGAGTGATTACGTGCTATCTATGACCTCTCTCCGGCGTGTCCCAAGTGTGTCAAACATTGCGAACTCGCAATCTCGTCATCCTCGCGTGCGCATAAGTGCCGCGTGGAGATCCGTTAAGAAGCTGACGCGAAACTCGCGACACGATTGTTACTTGCCGCCTAATAATGGAATCAGAGTGTCGCTGAATGAATGACATAACGGTCACGCATTAATCCGAAATCCGGAGTGCGCGCGTCGCTCGCTCGGGTCGTTACGGGCCGAGTGAGTGATAGCGTTGAACCACTGATAGCGAACTCACGATTCGACTGAATATTGGCATTTGTGTTTAGGAATGGGCTGTTCGGTAAGCGCAAGGAAAACGTGGAACCGAACGAAAAGAGGTCGACGATCACAACAGGTATGATTTTTCACTCTCGGTTGGTCGGACCTAATTTAATCTCATGAAATTATTCGAGATTACGCGTTGCAAAACTGTGATTTTCTCGAAAATATCTATTTAAGAGATCTTGCAAATAAACACTCTTCGTCCTTATTACGTATCGTGAATCTAAAGAATGTCGTATCAGCGTTTACGTAATCGGCGTCGCACTTCAGCGAGTGAAAATAAAATCGCCACTTATCGCATGCCACAGTATCGACGACGTACAAGAGAGAGCCTTATGACAGACCGATAGCACCTGCACGCTTGTCCAAGGACCAGCAGGAGTTCGACGAGGCGCTGGGCACCTTAGCGAGGAGAAGGAAGTATACGTTAGACAACAATGCCTCGAGATACAACTCGAGTTCGACGGTGAACGGTGATCCCGCCAGGATCTACGATGGAAGCCCGCAGGACACCACGACGTCCATCATGGGCGATCTCACCCCGAAGCCGCCGGCCAGAAGGTGAACGTCACAAACAATAAAGCCGACGAGCTAAAATTATTTACTAATCTGATGTTTTCCATGTTGAACTTCATCGGGCCACATACGAAAGAAGATACAACTGCTTTAACCAAATTTGTCTTTTATCTAACAAATATTCCGGGTCTATTGATTTCTTTCATAATTTTCGTCGCAAGTTCGTCCAATATGTATTTTCTCACTCAAATTAGGATCTTGACGCTATCTTAGTTTGTATTTTAAGTATATTTTTTAAATTATTTTGACTTTGCGATACTTTCTGAAGACTACTTCCGCCCATTCTTTTCGCCTATCAAATAGTACTAACTCGTTAAGAAATGAAATGAAATCATAACGTACATAACGTAGTGTTATTCAAGCATTCTAAATTATAATTCAGTTAGCAGCCTGTAGATCTCAGAATTTAATCTAGAAGAAGACTGAGGCCGTACAGATTTTAGGATCAGAAAATTAGGGTGTTCAAAGCGATGGAGTTCCTTATCGAAACAGCGACCTTGCGAATCAGACCGAAGATTTCTTCGACAATTTAATTGCTCCTTTTCCAGATTCGGACAGGTGAGTCCGAGACCGACGGACAAAATACCGCCGTTGAATTTCGAGGACAAGCAGTCCAAGGAGAACGGAAACATCAGCTTTCGCGACCAAACGGAAGGAACGCCAATTCCACCCTTGTAAGTTCTCACGCTCGTCTTGTTTGTCCCGCAACAGTAATAATCTCCCATTGCAAGATGTCGAAGTGCAACATTTGAATATTTGGTTGAAGCGACCGAGTCTTCTTTCCTGAGACTTCACCGATTTCTTTCTTCTTAGGCGAAGGTTCGGCAACAGATCGTCGCAAAGACTGAACGCAGGCGCGTCGGACTTGGACGAGGAGGCCCACCGATCCGGCGACGTGACTCTGAGGGACGAGAATGAGAACGTTCCCGAGGATTACGTCTTCAAGAGATTCAGCCAGGACGCGGTGAGGAGGTCCAACTTGTCTATCAATAGCTGCGTCTCCGTTACCAGTACGGCGAGCACGTACGGACGCAAAAAACGGAGAGCGCCGCAACCGCCGCAACGGAAGGAGCCGCAATTGGAGACTCCTCAGGTACGTGTAGATCATTTGGCCGGCGATTACGTTGATATTTGAGATACGTTTTTGCACCTCGCATCGTTATAACGCTTTCGCAGGAGAGCGACGCGCAAGCCGCGGCCGAGGCCACTAATGTCCCGCTGCAGATAGTCGAGCCCATCGATATCGCCCGAGTGACGGAGAACATCGACGAGATGGTGAAGAAGAACTGCGATTTGAAGGGAGATAAAACCGTGAACGAGGACACACCGCGGCAGGAGGGCGAGCAGACGGAATCACTGCTTCGAAAAATCAGTGAGAACACATTGTCCGTCGCGCAGAGCGTTGCGACGGACAAGAGCGACGACGTGAAAGAGAGAGAGGACTCGGAGGAGAAGGTTGCCCGGAGCGCCGATGAGACGTCCGAGAAAATCGAGACGAAGGCGGAGAAGTCGCCCGAAGCCGAAGAGGGCCTCGCCGAGAAGCGGGACGATCCCGTCGACGTGGAGTATCACAGAACGTCGCAGGAGAAGATCGAGATCATCAAGGACACGAGCGAGGAGGAGGTCTGCCTCAGGAGAGGAGCCGGCTCGTCCAGCACGCTCTCCCGCAGCGACAGCTTCTCCGTGAAAGAGGAGATCGAGAAGATCGAGAGGCAGATCAAGGCCCTGGAGAGCAAGAACGAGCGCAAGGAGCCCGAGCGAGCGGAGGAAGACGGCGCGCTAACGAGCCCGAGAATGTCCATACAGGCGAATCGACGGCACTTCTTCGAGAACATGGTGACGACCGGGCAGTCCGACAGCGTGAAGATCGAGTTCAAGGAGCTGCCGCGCGAGCAGAAGGACATCCACGTGGTCAGAGTGACGGACAAGCCGCTGCCGGCGCCCCGGGAGCCGGTGAAGGTGATCGAGCTGCACATCTCGGAGCCGATCAAGCAGAAGCCCGAGCTGCTGAGCGAGGTGAACCCCATACCGAAGCCCAGGCGACACAGCGCGCTCAGTCTGAACGACGTGTCCGAGCCCAGGCGCTCGAGGGATGACGAGAGTCCCGAGGAGGACGGCAAGAGGGGGAAATCTTTCTGAAGAAGAGGAGAACGCACAAGATCTGTCTACGACGGATCACCCGGTGCAATCCTAACGTTTCCTCGATTTCTCGACGCGCCCTACTCCGAACGTAATATCACGTTTAGCTCGATGCAACGAGAGGCTCGAAAGGGTGTTACCACGGGCGAGGCGTCGCACGATGTTGCACGGTACACTGTTCTGTATCGTGCGCCTCCGTCCGACTTTCACGCTAAATCGCGCAATGGTTTCATACTAACGACGCGCCGTGCGTCTCTGCGACGAATAGAATTCGCGAGGGAATTCTAGCATTTTTCTTTTTACCGCGCGCCGCACGATCATACACGGTCGTCATCTTCGTTTGAAGATCGTGGATGGTTCCACCGCAGAGAAATGCTTAGATATAATTTTCATTATTATTTATTGATACGAGAAATAAAGTCTAAAGTCTATCGGAGAGATATCCTGTGAATAGGGGTGATCCTGTGCTACGAATTATATTCGAGACACGGTGGAGCAATAAATCTGCGAAAATGCGAAAGCTCGAATGGAAAGGACGGGTGTCGTTGAATCTTTTCTACTCCTCGGAAAAAGGTTTTATAAATTATTTATTATTTAGATGTTATTTGCACGATTTTTCCAACGGAAATTGTCGAAGCATGTTCAGCAGCGATTCGATTCTTCATCTAAGTTTTCTTACTCGTTCCGTTTTATACTGTATAAATCTCGCTATGTTCGAGTTTACGATCCGCACCGTGTCCATCCTGTCTTTCAGTTCTTTCTTCTGTTGTTTCACCTGCGAGACGATTACAAATACGAAGGTCAATACGACGGTCAAGTTTGTCGTGTTTTTACAAGGTAAAGTAATAACGAATTCGATCACCCGAATTATACTGAATCGGCGTATGTAAAGGCTATTGTACATGAAACTAGAGATATTGTGATACTATAAAAGTATCGATACTAATATTGACACCGATATTAGTATCGAAGAGACTAGAAATTAGAGGAAATATAAAAATCAGGGAAGCTGTCTTGTAAGCTATTTTTAAGAATTACGTCTATGCATAATAATCTTATTATATTATATACATGAATTGTTTCAACATCAAGGGCTTATGTTATGCCACTGTATTTGAAAATTTTACGTGTGGCGGCTTTTAATGCGCACTAATCCTAAACATAGTGCGGATGATCGAATTCGCCATAAGAAAGTTTACCTTGTTTCTGAAGATTGGTACCAGTGATCTCAGCCTTTCTACCAAATGAATGTCGGCTGCTAAGCGATCAGTCTCGTCATCCGCGAATAAGTCCATTATCGCGTCTATAGATTCCGCCAAGAGCCACGCTTGCGTTTGTATCGAACAATCATTCAGTATTATCTCGGCGAGTTTCTATCAGATTGCAGAACAGTGAGAAAATGAATGACAAGAAGGAATCGCAGAACCGACCACGCGACGATGGACACTCACCTTCGTCATTGTGTAAGTTCGCGTTATGTTTCTCGTCAGGTTCAACGCCACATTGCCGAGAATCCTTATCATATTGACGCGGACGCTTGCGTCGGCACATCGCGTCTGCATGTCACACATCAGTATAATCTCAAAGTCGGGCTCGCTCAGCTGCGTGAACACGTCCGTCTGCATGTCGTTCAGCCGTTCGACAATCGCCCTCATAGCGTGGACAGCTGCTTCCAGGAGCTCTTTTTCATTCGGACTGATTTCCTTGATCACAGCATTCCCGATTTCCAACCATTTACTATACGCAGAATATTCAAATGAGAATCGAACCGTCGTAAGCACGTGTTTGACAGAAAACGATATTGCGTTTGACTCTACGTCGCCTTGTTAAAAAAAAAAAAATCAGGTGGAAATCCATATAGGAAATCCATGTGGAATCCATAGTTGCCTCTGGGAATTTGTAGTGAAAACTCAGGTCTTAGGGAACAATCAATGTGGATTCCTACGCGAATTTCACGCATCATGCGGATTTCTATATGAATTTTTAACATCCTATATATTAACTTGTTCGGTTGGTTCGTTTCAAATCTTCCAAGTTCAGGATGCAATATTTTACTTTACTGGAAATTTTCAACCTGGGCGATCTTTACCTGTACAAATTGTTGACGCCTCCCAAAGCGTCGATGTCGAAATTGGGTAGTATATTATTCAGACAGAAATAGGCTCTTTGCCGCACAACGGAAAATTGCTTCAGCACGTTCTTCCCTTCCACAGTTTGATCCAATATTTCTTGGCTGTCGGTGTCCACCGCGACGGTCTTCTCCCAAATTTTGCCGATTATGTTGTAGTGGTTCAAAGCTTCGACCAAGTGCACGGGTAACGACCGTTTCAGATTCTCACTCGCCTCATCGGCCTCCATTTCATTGGATTCCACCTCCATTTTCTCGGAACCGTCGACGCTCAAGCTTTCATCATCCTCGTCGTCGTTGTTGGATTCCAAGTTCATCAGAATCTCTAAGGCCAATTGTTGTGTGTTCAGCAACATTTTACTTTCCAACACCTTCTTCCTGTTATTCTTGGATTCGGCATTCTTTTCGTGCGGCAGAATGGACACCAAGCTAGACAACAGCTGTTTGTTATCAAAGCTGAATACCTCATCGAGTGTTTTGATAAATACATTAAAATATTTAGACTTGCATATGTCATCCCAGGCACATATATTGGTTAACAATGAAATCGAGGAGATTCTTGCAAACCACGCTTCCGGACTGGACTTGGCATTTTTTGCAACCATTTTCGCCAGTATATCGTGTAAATTCTCTTCGCTCGACTTTATTTGCTCGATGGCAATGGAGTTATCTTCTATCACAGTTATTAAAAATTGTATAGTAGTGATGATAATCGGCATATCATAGATATTAATATCTAAGTATTTTATTAAAATTGACACCAGTTCCTGCTCGTTGATGAAGTTAATTGCATTCTCATTATTCTCGCATAATGTCCACAACAAAGAGACTGCTTCTATGTAAGTCTCCCTCAGATATTTCACATTTTTATGGTCACTGTTGAACAGGCAGTTTGAATAGTGCTGCAAACAGAGAAATTGTATTAGGTGTACAAATAAATTCGATGTTATTAAACAAAAAATTTTTGAAATATTAAATATGAAATTTACTGGATTAAGCCGAAAACTGCATGTATTAATGAGATGGGGTCAATTGAGAGAGAACTTTGATAAAATTCTCAGCATAATATCTCCATCAGGGTTAAATCTGTATTTACTTATTTGTATTTGGTTACTTCAAAAAATCTATCTGTTATACCACCAATTGAAACTCTGGCAAGAATAGCGTGAACCATTATCAATTCTTCGTACTTGTTTCATTAACGCAGTCAATGGAGTCATAATATCGTCGTCTATTAGATTAGTACGCGCCTGATCTCCACCATTTTCAGCAATTTGCTTGAAAGCAGCCGCAGCAGCCGCTCGTATCATGTCCTTACTATCAAGCAGCAACGGTCCGGCTAGCTTCGTTATCCCGTCCTTAGCAATTTGCCTTGCTATAGAAGCATCCCAGGCCATTGTTTCCAGTGTGTGCAGAGCTGACAGTTTCTCTTCCATATTGCACGATTGTATCTGGGTGAAAGAAAAAAAAAGAGATAGAGGTACAGGGACAAAGAGAGATCAAGTTTCAGCTTTGTAAGCTTCGTCCTGCACGCTTATTCCGTAACCTTTGACGACAATAGTTCCTTTCTATTGTTACTTAACCTGCTCCTTCAACGAAGCTTGGATGTTGTTGTTGTTAGGTCACAAAATAGGAGGGGATCGTGTAATAAAAATGAAGGATTCGCGCGCTTACCTCATCGTAAAGATATTGCAGAGTCGACTCTTTATTTCCCTTCGTAGAATCCTCGATTTCATCGAAATCCTTAACGGACATCAGTCCAGTGGGATTTTCCTTGTGCGGCCTCCCTCGCTGTCGCTTCTGCTTACCCATCTCGAGAGATTAATTCAATTGTAAAAACAACACACATACATCGACTAATTCGAGACAGGATAAAAAATGTATCTCCCTTTTTTGCTGTTATTCCACATCCACCGTTGGTGAAGAGTATGCCTTGAATCGGAAGAGGTTATGTGAGAAGACACCTCGTGTAAAATTCTCGTGTAGGATTTTTAACATGTGTTGCAAAATTGTCTCGAGGCATTTTGCAGCCGGCGCGTCCATCACTGCATTATCGACGGTCGGTATCACAACGTCGATGCAATTATCGACCGACAGGAAGTGCGCAGACAGTGCGTACAATACGATATACTGCGACATGCAGCGCCGTTCACTGCGAATTGCAGTTGTACGAACACACGTGCAATCGAAGTCTCGTGTGTGACGGTTTCGAAAAAAGTTTCGTTGATGATTATCTTCGCTCGTTATCGTCACTTCAGCGATCATGGAGGATTGGGTTAACAAGAAATTGTCCGAGCTTTTGGACTTCCTTATCCCAGAGGAAATGATCTCGTAAGTACGGAGAATGATAGAGAAAATTTGGATCCCATATATTGTCGTTGCAATTGTGTCCCTCTCTTTCTAGGTTTATCACGCAGATAGAAAATGACAGAGATTTGGAGGAATATTTCTCAACTCTCTTGGACGATAAAAATCCAAAGCACAGACAATTTGTAGCAGATTTGAAGAAGCAACGTTGTGCGTGGATAAATAAATTTCAGAAAGTTTTGTTACATATAGCTCTTTTACCTTCATACAATTATGAAATCATTATCATTGTTTCAGCATTGTATAATACCAACCAAGCTGGATATAAAAAAGTAAATGACTATAACACGAACTTTAACCGACAGAACGATAAGAAGAAAGGGAAAACCAAGGGAAAAGAAAATGTTCAGGCTCAAGTTCAGATTCAGGTCCAGATATGTTGCATATTATTTCAATGTTATCAAAGAAGTTGATTATACAGCAATTGTTAGGATATTTTGCAAATTAAATACTATTTTCTGTCATGCAGGAAAAGCCAGAGAAGGTAGAAAGGAAGAAGACTAAATTTGTCGATTTGTATTCTCAAGGAGACATACTCTTGAAAGGTACTTATATAATATACCTGTGCGTATATAAATATTACACATACATAATTTGTGCAAATTGATTATCTTTATTTTTCAGGCAGACATAAATGTGACTGCGAGGCGAAGAGACACGCGTTGGTTAACAATTGTCTGAACTGCGGTAGGATAGTTTGCGTGCAAGAAGGTTCTGGACCTTGTTTCTTCTGCGGCGAACTTGTGTGCTCTCCTGAGCAACGAGCGATTCTTGAGAGTAAATGTAAGCAGGCCGATGTTCTGTACAATAAATTGATGGAGCAGAAACCCAGCAAAGGCCTGGAAGATTCTCTCAAACAGAGGGACAAACTTCTCGAATATGATCGCAATAGGTATGCATTCGTCAAGATCACTCACGCGCCAGTTAGTAATTGTAAATTCACCTGCAGCGCTCGTCGCACCAAAGTCATCGACGACCAGTCGGATTATTATCAGTCGAACAGTGCGTGGCTTTCTGTTTCGGAGCGCGAGAAGTTGCAGAAGCAGGAAGCGGAAGCGCAGGCTCGCAAACATATGTCACGCTTGGACAGAAGATACGCTGTAAATTTTCTGGGAAAAGAGCTGACCGATCGAGATCAGTCTTACAATTTGGATGAAATCACCATGGAAGCGATTTCGAGCGAGAACTTCGAGAATCCGAACATCTGCCCGACAATCGAATTCGAGCGTCCAAAGGTAAGCTAGCTTTTTACGAAACATTTCCTTATGTTCGTTTCGCTCCTTGTTATTCATCATGTACTATACTATTGCGTCTAGTTTGTCGGGATGGAAACATTTAAATCAAGCAGGGAGAATCGTGAGAATCCCATGTGGAATATAGTGAGTAAGGTTCAGGATAAGGAATTCTTGGAGATGTCAGACCAAGGTCTGTGCTTGAGCTTACATCAGCCGTACGCGTCGTTGCTGGTGGCGGGAATAAAAACGTGAGTTTAATGTATATTTAGGAAATGATGTTTGTGCGGAGCAAGGATGGCTAATACGAGTTTTTTTTTTTTTTTATACTGTCAGTCACGAAGGTAGAACTTGGTACTCGTCACACAGAGGAAGATTGTGGATAGCATCGACCGTTAAAGTGCCATCTACCGAAGAGATAGATAATGTACAATTTGGCTACAGTATGTTAAAAAATAGTCGGTAGAAAAAAATATCTTATTTTTGATTATTTAATATTATTTAATATTGTATGCTATATATATATTTTTTTAAATTTATATATTTGTGTTACAAATTTTAGAAAACTTGAAGTTTCCGGAGACTTATCCAACTGGTTTCTTATTGGGCTGTGTAACGGTGACAAATGTTCTCTCTCAAGAAGAATATAAGAAATTGTACCTGGAAAGCGAAAGCGACAGTCCATACGTATTTATATGCGAAAATGCTTATATGCTGCCGATACCATTTCCGATAAAGGGAAAACACAAGATTTGTGAGTAATCACAATTTTCATTTGATTGACAATTAATGTGTTGACATAGATTACACCGCGAAATCATCTTTTTATGTTGCAGACAAATTGGACAAGCAACTTCATCGAGCTGCTTCTAAGCATCTTGAAAAAATTATGGAAAGAAGTAAATAACCAGTTTTTCACATAGATCCCTCTCTGATATGAAAGTAAGATAAACTCTGCCAAAGGTATATTATTTTATTAATTCGATTGTTGCTCCCGCCTTTTCTGTGCATAGTTTATTCATATTAATATAATTCGAACGTTTAAAAATAATTTATATATTATCTTAGCATCTCGTACAAATGTGATCTCTATGATAACATGTCTAATAAAAAAGTTTTACATGAATATACAATATGTGTGTGCATGTATATTATATTAAATTTTATTATACAACAGATTATTATACAATTTACATAAACTCCGCAAGATGTTACAATATAACCATTTATGCATGCTTTTACACTGCCTACTTTGTTGTTGTTACCGTACTCTTATACTTTATCGATGAAAAAATATCGATTCTACTACAATTGTAATATCAGACTTTTATAAACGGTATTAAAAATTATCTGCGATAGAGTATATATACCTGAAATACAAACGGATATCTCCCTTATTTGGGAAAAGCACAAGGATTATTGTTGTACTAAGTCTTCGTCTTTAAAGCGCCAATTGTCCTATTAATATATATCTCTTGCTATCTCTTATCAGTGCATCGCCTATATTAAGCGACGTGGCCACGAGTCGTTTTCTCTATTAACCTCGACGCGTTAAATTACATGAATTAGGCTAAGATGGTATACACGGTACGGTAAATAAAAAATTTCTCTTTATTGACTATGCGGTTAATAAAAATGCTTAGGGGTGGGGGGAGGGGGGACTGAACTAAGTAAATTGAAGTACATTAGCTCAAGCTTTTTTTTTGTTAGAGATTCTTCTATTGAGCAAAGGTCCAATGTCTCTGGACAAAGAGAAACATTTTCGACTAAGCTTACTTAGCTGCATATATATATCGTTTTGTGCAACTTCGACAAACTGCGGGGACTCAAGCATTCGGCGCGTATCTTACATACGTGTAAAGTTAAGACACTGCAAGTTACATACATCCAACGATCCGAACCAAGCTTCAATGTAACGTGAAATGAAACACACACACACACACAGATGTTGCAGATACACGGGAGGTATTCGATGAACGGGACAAATTTAACGTTTCAACGAATCGATGAATAAGGAATGTATGAATAAATAATATGATGGGCATTTTTAACATAAGTTGCTCTTATATAAATAAATAAGAAAGAGTTACTTTGAGACGATCGTACAGAATGTGATTTATAATGTAGATGCCATTTCGCCAGGAGAATCTTGTCAGTCATCATAGAATCTGTATACAGCCGATCGTATCAAATTTTCGTTACCGTTACTTCCAGCAACGTTCTCTCCTTTTCTATCATTGTGCAGCACAATATGCATATATTATTATGACATGTTGTAACAACAATCCGCAACCGATTACACGACAGTTTTATAATCTGATAAAGCTGGGTTCAACGTTCTTCGTATCTCGCAACAAACGCCTCTAATTTATACCTTCTGGGGGGAACTCCTTAGTGAAACGTAAAACACTCCTCCGAAGGTTCCTAACATTGCGTAGACTATTATACGCAAACCGAGAACCAGCTGCTGATCCAACATTTTCTGGAGATAATTTCGTTTGATGTAAATCATTTCGAAAATTTCGTCTCATTAAATTTCACTAAAATTAATAATTCCATTATATAGTGTGGCGCGCTTATGTACAAAATCTATGAATTACAATAACAATGATTCGTTCTTCGCTTCGTGATTATCCCACAACAGCGACAGTTAACTGCACCACGTTTTCTATAACGTTTTCTCGAGGGTTTGGGGAACAATTGCACAATATTTGTGCGACAGAAAATCAAACGTAACAATCAAGCATCTGTTCGACAAGTAATGGTGCAATTTCCGCCATTCCCCGACAAATCTGCACCGAATTGGTTCTACGATTTGTTTTTACCCGTCGACAGAGAATCTTATAACCGGTTCATTCGATTTCAGCAAGTCGTTAACTGCTACGAAAGCGTTAATAGTGATGCGTATGATCCCGATGCCTACTCGACATTCACCCGATAGGCCCCAATTTATAACGCTAATGTGATACTAAAGAGGAATCGTTACATGCTTACCGCGCGAGAGATAAATTTTAAATAAATAGCTTTGTACCCTCTCTTCTCTATATAGGTCTCAGGATTTGTATGCTATCAATATATTATGCCTCTAAGTTCTCTTTTTTTGTTTTCCCACCTGCCTCCTTCCGTTTTCGTTTTAGGTCGTTGAAAAAGATTCGCGTTGTACGCATTCCCAGACGTATCCCTCCATATATCTTACACATGATCCGCGACACGCAAAACAACTGCGGCAAAAATCATCGTTATCATCGTCATCCGATCGTGCGACGAACTCCCCCTTTTTTTTTCTCGAGGTGAAGAAGGATCGACTTTCGTAAAACGCATAACGCGTAAGACATAAAAAGAATCAACCAATCAGAGCCCTCCATTACAACTCTGGGGGTAGAAACAAAGGATTTTAATTGATTCACATCATTTCCTTACACATTATGCAGAAATCTGTACTTCGGTACTCCCAAAGGCCTCTTCTGACAAACTTGCATTATTGCATATGCATGAGAAAACCAACCAATCATGATCCGTGCAGAAAACGGATCTCTTCTATATCAGACATATGGAAGATTGGTTAACTTCCTTCTGCATATGCATTATGCAAGTTTGCCCGGATAAAGGCCTACCTAGACAAACTTGCATAGTCATATAATGCAAACCGATCGACCAATCATGTGTCCCATATAGAAGACATCCTTTTGCTGCACGGATCGGTACATTTCCCTATGCATATGCAATATATGATTATATGCAAGCTTGTCTGGATAGGCCTTAAGCGCCCGAACGGCGGTTGTAGTCGACGAATCGACATCGCCCGGGCGATCTCGCACAGCTCGCAACTGCTCTCGTTATCACACCGACCGTCGCATCCTTCGTAACTCCCCCTTCTTCCTCTCTTCCCTAGGCCTCGAGGAACTTGGTTCGTCTATATGTAGGTCGGAGAGTCCTTCAGACTGGCATGGCAGGCATCACAGATAGAAACGTCCTTCTCGTTCACCAGCGTGCACTTGGGGCACTCCTTACCGCCGCTGGCGAGCGGCTTGTCCTCGTTGCCCTTGTATCTCGACTTGCCGCACATCTCGCAGATGTCCCGGTCGGGCGTGTTCAGATAGGTGCACGTACCGCAGTTCCACCTCCTCTCGTTCGCGTCCTGCCGCCCCTCCTTCCCCGTCGGGTCCTTGCTCGTTCGCGCGATGTCGAGGTTCCTCAGCGAGTCCTCGATCCTCGCTATCTGATCCGAGGATCTGTGCGTGCGCGGCATCGGCAGGGTCTGGTTGTGCCTCTTGTCCTGGCTGTACGCGTCCATCGTCAGAGCGGCGCCGCTGTTGTTGTACCTGCTCGAGTCCGAGAGATCGAACGACGAGGACTTCTTCTTGAACGGCAGGACGTCCTGGTGATTCCTGCCGTTCGTCTCGCTGGCATCGACGTCGTTCGCCTCGCTCCTGCCGCTCCTCCTCTTCTCCGAACGGTGCGCGCTGTACTTGCCCTCGTTCTCCGTCCGCAGCGTTCTGTGCTTGGACTGGGCGCGCGAGTCCAGCTCTTTCCGGTGCTGCAGCACGTCCTCCCGCTCGCCGAGGTCCTTCGAGTAACCCTGGCTCTCGAGATTCTTGTACACGAAATCCCACGTGTCGTAACTGTCGCCGCGCGTCCTGCCGACGCTGGAGTTGGATCTGCTCGCGGCCTTCCTGTCCATCGTCTTGCCGTACTCGCTGTAATGGTCGACGTCGCTCAGAGGTTGCTGCTGCCGCCGGTAGAAGTCCACCTCGTCCAAGTCCGATATCCTGTGGGACTTGCGGGGAGCCTTGTCGCCGTAGTGGATCACCGTGGACGCCGGCACGGCGTCGAGCTCTATCAGCCTGCCGGTCGGCACTCGAATCGGCGGGTAAGCCGGCAACGTGGCGCAATATGGGTCCGCTTGCACACCGCCGCTGTAGAATTTGTTGCCGTGCAGCAGGCAGCCGTAGGTGTTGCAACAGTTGACGAAGGTGTGGTCGGGCGGCTGGTAGTACCGGTAGTTAGCCGACACGATGTTGCTCACGTCCTCGATGCGTCTGTAGTCCGTCTGGCAGACCGGAGGCATCGTCGCCGCGTTGTAGTTCGGTTGCATCAGCTGATACGGCACGGCGGTGAGCGGCACGGGGTCCACACTAGTTTGCTGCTGCTGAGCGTAGTAATCCTTGTAGCTGTTGGTCTTGACCGCGCGGTTCTGATGCAGCTTCTCGAGGAAGCGGTAGTTGAGCGCACGGATCGCCTGCTCCGGCGTGCCGACGTTGCTCTCCCGGAACTCCAACACCTCCAGCCAGGAGATGGTGTAGTTCTGCGACACGCTCTCCCATATCTGCTTCAGGATCTGGAATTCGGGGTTCTTCATGCTGATGACATGTACAACTCAGTGGAAGTAAGGGACACGTAACTTGGTGGGGGTATAACATAAAGTATGCGACTTGGTGCAACTTACTTAATTTATCTCCTCGTAATTTTTGTTGTTGTTTATCTTAGTTTTCTCTCTGCCTTTTTTTTGTTAATTAACATGTTCATAAATATTTCATTATATGAGAAAATCATTAATTATAAGAAAATTTTAGGAAAATGTTGAACGAGTGGAATCTGTCTGGGTTTTCCAATTAGGATCGCAACCTTATTTAGTTGGTTAATCGGAATAGATTCCAAATAGATCCCATAAAATTGTCTATATGGGAGATATATCTCATTTTCCCTGCCCAGGGCTTTTCGGAGATTTTGTTCATAAATATAAAATAGGAATCCAAAAAAAATGTTGGGTAAACGTGGGACATAGAAAATGGAATCTGTCTGGATTTTCCATTTCGCACTTCTGATACATTACACTTCTAATCCGAATCTTCGTAGACTAGAATTCATCATTTTTTTGAAAGATCGGAATAAATTCCAATCAGATCCCAGAAAATTTTCTACGCGGGTCTCGCATTACCTGACACTCTACGAAAGCCACGATAGCATCCCTGCTGACACTGGAGACTTTATCCGGATCGATCGGTCCCTCCAGAGTCAGCACACCCAGGCCGGTATGTTTATAGCCCATCTGCTCGAACATTAACTCCGCACCTATTAAGTTCGCCTCCACCTCATGTTTGTAATAGCCACTGTAAGTCTGAAACGAAACAAATATGAGCTTGAATTTGCTAAGCGCAAATTAAATTGCGACATGAAATAGCCAGGAGTTATGCAAGGAGAATCCACATGGAGTATATTTCGAGAAAAACAAAGATGAAAATTTAATATAGGATTTAAAAAATATTATAAATAGCACTGAGGTTCTTCGTTCAAGAAGTCAAGCAGTCCCTTTCCTTCTCTTTATGGGTATTCATTGACAAGCTTAAACCTTAAAAATGAATACAAAAGACACAACTAGTAAAAATGGTGCAACTAGTGGAAAATAAAAACTGTTTTATAATTGATTTTAGGTAAGACTCGAATCTTTTTGTTTTCTGTAGAAAAATGTGTAAATAACTCATGAATGACCTCAAAATCATAATTTGTGGGTTAGAAATTCTTCTTGAGTAATTATGACCGAATAAACAACACAATATGTTTCAGATAATCACCCTCACTGTCCTATATTCTTTTCGCCAAGGCTGAGCCAAAAGGTTAGCTGCATACAACGAAATTGCGCTCCAAGCGGTCGCTGCTCTGTACCCACTGAAATCTGTCACTGTAGCTGCCGATCTGTGCAAAATATCCGCTGTTTCTTGAAACACATACTTATTCTCATTGGGCACCAGACAAAGGTATTCCTTTATAAAACCTGAAATTCAACTTGTATCAGTTGCATCATAATATTCTAAGCATATGTGATTCAAGATATTATCGTATAGTAGTAATCATGTTAACACAGTACCTTCTAATTTGTGACGTTGCTGTAACTTCAGAGGACTGTCGTCTGTCTGCAGATAAGCCAAGTGACTGTGCTCCAGTTTCATGCTGATTTCTTGCAGCCTATCCTTGCTCCTGATTATTACATCAGTCGCCATTTTTGTCCCTGTAATTGCAGAGAAACATCAGGTAAGATCCATAATGATAAGCAACCACATATAGACATTTCAGTTGTTGCTTCAGCTTCTACGTATGAATGTAACAAGCAAAAGGGAAGAATAATCGCCCAGAATGCGTACGCTTGGAAAAAGCTGACGATTGTTATTACATAGACCGTGACAAATATCTATTGACAGATGCAGATTTATGGATTATGGAAGCAATGTGTGAACCGTTTGTACAATCAAGCGTGGCAATCAGAGATAACGTGTCATCTAGAAATAACCGGTGCTTCATCCGCATTACGAACCTCCTAGAAATCTGATTTTGGAACAGATTCCCGATTCGAAGTGCGGCTAGCTCCAACCTAAAAATAAATCCTATATTTAGTAACGGAATCACACACGGGCTTCTGTAAACGTGCCGGTGTACACCGCGCGTACGCACCTGCGACACGACGTGTTTTCCCATCTCAGGGGTTAGCGATCCGCCGAATCATTGGTTGGCACTCGGACTGCGTGTCGTTACATCGCGCTCCCCGTAAACAGTAAATATTTTTCGCAAAACTTTTCTTGGTTATGTTCGCAATTACATCATGCATTGGAAACGCAACGATCGGAGGTGCGCGACCGCGTTGAAACGCGTCCGCGAACACGTGGCTCCGCCAAATGACGATTTCGCGAAACCTCGGCAAATTTCGTAACGTAACGGAAGTGGACACTAGCGCCACCTGCGATTAGCTTTTACGAGAAGCGGCGAGTCGATTGACTAGTTAGACAGTTGTACGTCGTGTCTCTCACTGCATTCTGCTTGCAGAAGCTGCACGATACACATAAACGTGTGTATTCACGCTTTTCATATTGACAGTATGTCTTTTTTTATAATATTGTAAATTTTAATAAAATTATGTGACTGTCATTTATGCCAATATCTAGTGTTTATACGGATCAAGCATGGCCTTTTATCCGTCGATTAATTTAGTCAAATCGATCGTGGACGAGGTTGCCTTAGCAGGATTAAACGGTATTACTTTACAAAGTAACGTAATGATACTTAATCATTAATCATTAGAAAAGTTAATCGTCTTAATACGAAGCGTTTTGTTGACAAAAGCAAAGCTGTCACTTATGAGAAAATATCTTCTTTTCCGGAAGATGTCAATATGAGAGAGCGACACTGCCATTTAATGTTAGAATTTCGACACTCAGTTTTTGTCGGTAAGAGTGGATGACACAATAACAACTGATCAATAGTAGATAATTTAAGTTTCTGAGGGTCGGTAAGTTACCAGGGTCGATAAGTTTCCGGGAATAGGTAAGTTACCAGGGTCGATAAGTTATCGAGGATCGGTAAGTTACCAGGGTCGATAAGTTTTCGGAAGATGGTAAGTTTCTTTATGATGTATCGCGAAGACAGAGTGAAGTTCAAGGATTCTAATTTTTAGATAAGATCAAGTAAGGATGGTACTTCATATTTACCCAATATATATGAACTATACTGTATTCCCGAAGCAGTAGATGTCAATGGGTTTGATCTGCATTTGAAGGTCTGACTAACCTGTGTAATCTCATAAATCTCAAGCATCAAGAATTGCAAAAATATCGACGACTAGGGCTCAGACAAAATATCAGCAGAGCTTCCGAAGTTATTTGACATCTCAGCCTATGAGAAAATCATTAAGAGAGGACTGGCGGTACTGTATAGAATGTTCAATCAGAAGAAATTGATTGTTACAAATCACAAAGAAACGTTAAAAAGCACTTCGCTGGGAAGTGCTACATTATGCGGTTTATTCACCAGACTGTGCCGCTTTCGACTACCATTCGTTTCTGTCGATGGCACACGGACTTGCTGAGGAACGCTTCAATTCTTATGAAGACGTCGAAAAACGGATCTCTGACTGGATAGCTTCCAAAGATGAGTTATACTTTCGCCGCGGAATTCGCTTGATGTCCGGAAGATGGGAAAAAGTCATCGCTAACGATGGATAATATTTTGATTGATGTACTTTTTCATTTTGTTTCTTAAATAAAACCATACTTTTTTTTTGCAGAAGAACGGATGAAACTTTCTGATTTAGCTAATCGATGCTCTAAGCAGAATTAATAATATATTAGTCTTTGATGATAATCTTTTAGAATATAGTCCAGCGGTCTGTTAGTATGAAGACCCTGTGATAAAAGTTTTTACGTGATAAATTAGAGAAACAGTTACGTGACAAATTAGAGAAACAGAGATGAAATAATCACGCGCGTGTGTGTGTTTTCGACCGCTCTCCGCGCGTTGTTGACGTATCGTTACAACTTTCAATATCTCCAGCACTTCGCTGTATTTAATTGATCCGACTGTGGTGTTCCGCGGTCTTGTCGTCCCTTGGACTTATACACGACGTTGGAACCCGTTGGGGCGTGATTATGAGCGTCTAACAAGCGGCAGCCGTCAATTTTCCCGTCACTTTTACTATCATCGCGATTGAGGCTGTGCGCACTCGGCGGAACGGCGGGTTCGATGGCGCCAGCCTTGATGATGCTATAAATACACGCTTCCACGCGGAAGAATCTGCAATCTTCGGGGCTGACGAATCTTCCTTTATTGGCGACGATAAAAGTCGCATCGGTAATTACAACGATGTCTCTCGAGCGGGATGGCGATATCAGCTCCCCGCCTGGAGTGCATTTCTGGATCGGTGGAAGGATAAATTGCGAAAGACGATAAAGAGCATCGGGAGTGCCTCGTGTAACGGGACGCGCATGCAAAGCGCGATAGGAAAAGCACGCCGCGGTTAGCGCGCAAGAGAGAAGGAAAGAGGGGAAGAATGACGCAGAGGGAGAGAGAGAGAAAAGGGAGGGATTCGGCTGGTCAGTCACAACGTGCTCTCACTTTCTATTGTCCGATCGTGCCAAGAAATTGTCCGGCGTGAATTTGATTTCAACGCTCTTGTCGCGGCCGCGACGACGATCTCGCGCGCTCGATCCTTTAATTACGCGGGACGCGTCCAATCGTGCTTTCTCTAATTCTCGCGATCTCCTTGCGTATATTCGGCATTACTCCGCCGTTTCTCCGGAGTTTCTTGTCAAATTCACGCGAAATCGCGAGACGTGCGAAATCGAAGGAGCGCCCAGCGATGATTTCTCCTTTTTGCCCACAGAGATGTCGGCGCGTTTGGTGCACAGGATCGTGTAGAAAATTCCTAATCGTTTTCGCAAACTCTGTTTTATTTGACAACGATAAGGCAGAGGTCCTTGTTACTCTCCTGCACTGGCAAGCTAGGAATCCGCGTTGCTCGTCCGCGAGGCGCACGTTCACTTCGCGACACTTTGCGGGCGCTCGGCGCCGCTTCGGACATTTCGCGCGTCTTACGCTCGCGAGCAAGTTGTGTATTTATAAAAGAGTTTATTAATGTACATTCGGAACTAGTAGTAAGATACAGGAGAGCAAGAAAGAGAGAGAAGAGCCGTTAAATCTTGTTGCCGTTCACGTCTCTGTACAGCTCGTCGTTGTTGCCGTATAATCTCGGTGAGTCGTTGCAGTCGACCTGCAATTGACGAAAATCACTCAAGAGCTCGCTCGTTATTATTGCGAACGCTTCGAATGCGCTTCATGTGAGCTTGCGCATACCTTGAACCACCAGTCGCAGACGCGAGTTGTTTGACTAAAGACTGTACCATTCGGGCAGAGGAAGCTGTATTGGCGTCCGTTCGGCAAGCACCAATGCCACACCTGCAATCAGATATTAATATTTCGAGTTTTTTACATTTTTTTTCTCACCATCAGCATTTTTCTCATTTCCATCGTTTTTTAATTTTCTTTTTATTTGATCATTATCTCCTCTCCCTCCCTTCTTCTCCTTCTTTCTTTCTTGTAAACTCGTGTATTGTTGCGTAAAATGTTGCTTATTTATTAATCATCATCCTCGCTGATCGTATTCTCCTTCTTTGTCTCGAAAGAGTATTTCACGTCGATAAAATAACGAGTAAATAAATTATTGTGTTTCGACGGACTTCATCAATCTTCATCGAGGAACTTCCCATCTATTTTTGAAAATTGAGAGGGAAAACGATAGATTTATGATTCTAATCTTCGAGGATCACGTTCGACGGGACAATTTTCGAAGCAACTCGTAAAGCGCCCGACAACATAATTCATTTATTAGGTCGTATTAGCCCGTCGTTTTGACATACGATTACAAAGAAAAAAAAAGGGAAAGAAGGGGAAAAAATCAGTTTGCAATCCGATAGTGCACGCGAGCGTATTTAAATAATCCCGATTATTGAAATGAGAATGAAACACGGTGGCCATATGGACGCACCTGACATCTGGCCTCGGGGTCGGCGTAGTACCCAGGTAGCTTCCCTCCGCAGGTAAACTGCAGGCCGAACGGCACCGTGTTGTAGATCGGGTAGTCTACACCAGGTGTGTAGCCATCCACTTGCTGGAACGTACGGGAATTATTACGCGCGCGTTACGCCCGCAGATAACATCGCTCTTTTTTCTTTCTCCAACAGCTGTCGCACGACGCCGGCTCGCGAATTATATCTTCCGAAGTTGAACCGAGATCGAATTATGAATTATTTATACCAGGGCTGTTAATCTCTGGCAATTTTGAAACTTCGAAGGATACTTCGAACTTTCGAATTTTGGTAAGGCGAAGCTTCGAAGGTTACACTGATAAAAAATTAAAATTATTTTCGGCATAAAACATATTTTATAATAGTAACAACACGCATGCCAAGTTATTATCACCGACACTATAGTAAGATTTACTAGGAAAATGGTTCTTTTGACTATTTTTCTAATTAAAATAAAAAAAAAGGTATATTCGGCGCCGAAAATAACTATAATTTTCTATCAATGTCGTTTTTAAGGGCCGTAATCTTCGAAGTTTCGAAGCTTCGAATAATATAATTTTGCGAATGCTCTAATATCTATATATATTTTGAAGTACTGAGAAATTTTGTAAATAAATATTGAAAAAAGGATTTGGTAATAAGATGTTTCCAAGCTCTACTGGCAAGTCTGACGGACCAATCATTGAGATCTAATGGCAGGTTCAAACGACGTTTGTTACATTTAAAAAATCTCCATGTTTCGACGCTCCGAATCTTCGATATTTCCCAAATTCGAATAATGAATACCGAAGCTTTGAATCTTCGGAGATTCGAAGTTCGGATGCCGAACCCTTCGAAAGAAAACACTGGCCTTAATCAATACACGGAGTTCTACGGAACGCGCGTTGTTATTGTTATTGCGCCACCGCCTTGGACCGTAACACATTCGTGATTAGCATTGTAAATTTCGATGGTTGCATCGAGACAATTAGCGAAAACAGTGAAACCCGCGGCGTAGCATCAGCCGCGTAGTCGGTCGCCGTGATTGTTCCGTCGGAACAAAAACAATACGTTTCGACACGTATCATCTCGACAATGGAATGTGGCGCGAAGGATACACGCTGCAAATCGTATTTCCTCTGCCCGATGGACCTGCGTGCCTACTTATGCGCACCGAATCGAAACTTATGCGGATAAATCGCACAATTCGTTGCTCCCCCTATCTTTTTCTCCAGTTATTTTAATTATCGCGCACGGCGATGAGAACGCAGGTGCGTTTTTATATGCAACACATCCCATAGCTTTTATCATTTATTTACCGCTCATCTCAAAACAATTCGATCCGATCGCCCTTAAATCGCCCGCAAATATCCCGATGTGATTGGAAATAACCATTTTTCTTCGGCGATCGACATATTTCTCGCTGAATTTCCGTTCAGACCACTTGATATTTTTGCTGTTGAGTGTAAGGTGAGACATTTCTTCAGATTACCACTTTGAGTGAGTATTTTTGAAAAATATCATCGACTAGATAGAGATTACCACTTTGAGTGAATATCTTTGAAAAATATCATCGACTAGATAAAAATTACCACTTTGATTGAGTATTTTTGAAAATTATCATCGACTAGATAGAGATGAAATAATTTGACATTTATAGAAAGTGTTTGAAGTAATGGCCACTGATATCAATACAATTTCGGATATGTTTTTCTCTTTTCTACTTTCATATCTCGACGATATTCAGGTGGTGAAACGGTTATTGCCTCAGCCAGTATGACGTTAGTATGACGTTATCGTAAATCATTTCATAAAATCACATATCATATATCAGTTCAGCCATTATGTCGTGGGGCACACGCGACGGCCTGGACGGTGTATACGCGTCCGTGTACGGAACACCACTGAAAATTAGCCCAGCAAGAGCCAGACATCGATTGTATAAAAGTGTCGCTAGGCTACACTTTCTGTTTCATCTGCATTTCCTCATATTTCAACTCAGATAAATCACACTTACTCATCAAATTATTTTTGGAGTCTCTCTTACGAACGTACTTAATCCTGTACAAAGTCGGCTTTGCAATATCAAGGCTGTAAAAATTTATAATAAACGAAAATACGGATTCGTGCTGGACTTCAGGTTGTATACTCACGGCACTTAGAGAGCAGCACAAATCTGTATTTTCAATCGATATCAATTTTTAGGGTCTTAATTGTAAAACCAACTCTGTACAGGGCTAAGTGCATTCGCAAGAGAAACTTCCAAGATAGTTCGATGAGCAAATATAATTTCCTCGAGTTAAAAGATACGGGGAAGCGCAGATACGACGGAAAGTGTAGCCTGGTGGCACTTCGACCCAATCGATTTTTGGTCCTGCCGGTCCTTAACGTTAGGTAACGGCAATTACTCAATGAGACAATCAAAGTGCCGATCCTTCGCTGTCCTTCGCTTCGAGACGCATCAGACATGGGCGCGATACGGAATCTTTTTCGCAATTGGCTATCAGTCAAAACGAGAAGCAATAAAGAGGCGGTTGCGACACGACGCGTCGACTCGAGACCGTTCGGTGCGTGCACGTGCCAATGTCTGACCGGAAGTCGGGTTACATTGTTCCTCCCGAGCGGATGCGCATCTCCGCGGCTTTGTATACGATCTCTTGTTTACGATTTCGCGCGCGCGCGCGTGTACGCGCGTGTGCGTGCGTGAATGCGTATGCAGATGCGCGATCCGCATCTCCCCTTCTCGAATTTAACCGGGTGATTTCGACGCCTGGTGAGAAGGTATCGGTAGGTCACATTGCGCTTTTAGCTCCCGAGAAACGAGGTGCTCGTTGAAATTGATGCGAAGCGATGGAGCGTGTGCGCAAAGTATACGCTTAATTTCAAAATAGAAAGAAATGTATGAAGTAACGTGTATCTTTTATTACTTAATAAACAGAAAGATAAGGCAGTTCAGTAATTTATGCAACGTTTACGCTATCTTGTCTCCATTTCGAACAACTCGTTCTCCAGCGAGAAGGACAACGGTAATGTAAATAGAGCGTGCGAAATACACGTTCTATTTGAAGAAAAGTAATAAAACAAATATATAAAATATTTATGTATCTTTTGTCGTTTTTAATTTGAACGTATGTTTTGTACGCGCTCTATCGTGTTGCTTCGACTTTAACGTAGCGGAATTGATGATCTCGCGCGTTTCGACGAGAGAGAAATTCATCTCTCTCATTCGGACAATAAGTTTGCTGATAAACGGATATTGCATAATCAGATTTTGCTCATACAAAGAGAAATAAGCAAATTAAGTGTTTTTTTTTCTCGCAGGAGAACAACGTGGTGAAAGATACGTTAGACGCGCGGAGGCAGGATAATACGAACGTTGCATAAATTAATTAACTGTCTTATCTTTCCGTTTGGTAGCCACGCGGCATTGAGGCTGGCTTATTTCTCGGCTTTATTATTCTCTATCCCGATTTTCATCGGTTTCACGGTCATCGTTTCCTGCGAAATATGTCTTCTAATTGGTGAGTACGAGATTGAATCGGGCGAATCCGGATGTGTACGCGCGCGTCGTTTCTCTCGTCATTAAGACATTATTAATAACGATTCACGCGCACTTAACAATACGCAGTGAGTCGCGCATTAATTCGCGATATCTTTCGGCAAATTTTGCAAGTCGGAAATTTGAAAAATTTCAAATGAATTCGAAAAGAGAGAAAGAGAGAAGAGGAGTTTTCCGACAGTTAATTAATCTCATGTTAATTTTTCAGATTCTTACCGTATTGATGACATCGAGATCGCGAGACATTTATTCGAAACTTTAACGCGTCAGTTGTATTCATGAGATGCACTTGTATGTGCTTTCAAGTGACTTCGCTTAACGAAGCGTCCCGTACGCACGAGAAAGCACGTTCGCGTAACACCGGTTAATTAATGAATTACTTAATATTACCACCTGGTGGAAGACGATGCGTGCAGATATGGTTCACTCACTGTTATTGTTACGTGATACACCGTGAGAAGCTGCGATGAAAATAATAATTTTGTGCTTTAATCCGTCGAGACGCCGCTCCCGCGTGAATCTGAAGTATTTACGAAACACATCTCCCACTGAGAGAAGGTCTTATCCACACCGTGTGTTGCGCAACCCCGTCAAAAAATCCGCGATCGCGCGGGGACGCCATTTTTCTCGGGGGCCGGTTTCTTCACGTTACTTGCGAATCACGAGGACGACCGTTCGTAGGGAAATCGAAGGGAAATCGATAGAGATTATCAGACTCACCGCCATCGTTTGATAGAGTAAAACCGTGCCGAAGAGCAAGACTGCGCAGAGTATCTGGTACCTCGAAATCATCTAAAACATTCAAGGAACTTTAAACCACTCGGTGACTGAGACTGTCGTGAATAAAAAACAAAGGGACTTTCTCGTGTTCTTGCTTGGTCATTTGCACTTTTTATTTTCTACGTGACGGGAAAGTCATCCTCAGGTCGATCTTCTCGTCTCGCTGACTTCCTGAGCGTCTTCGCGGAGAGATCGTCTTTCGGGGGGGACCGACACGTTTCAGGTGGGACGCGCGACAAGATTCCGTAGGGGCGAGGTTACCTTTGCCTACCTTATCGGAAAAATCTGGTCGCCTTTAGTCCGCAGTATCGTGCCGCGTGGTGATCATTTATCCTCTGGTGTTTCCCGTCCTTTTACCGCGCGCACCTCACTTACGGATGCCTGACACTCGGCTCGATTCGCTTTTCGCTTCTGGCTCTAGGACGACGCTACTCCCAAAGTTTCTTTCTCGGAGGATCGCACCACGAAGTGGTGGTATATATATGGCTTTAGACATCGGCCAGGGAAAAAGGGGGGACTCTTGAGAGTCTCTCTTTCTAGGGGCTCCCACATCGGACGAACGGAGAAAGAGAAGATCCCAGAGCGACGGAGGTGGGATGTTCTCCTCTACGGTGCCGCAGAGATTCTTCTCTTACGCAATCGTCTCGTGGTCTAACACCCGTGAAAATATTCGTAACCAACGTACTTGAACCATTGCGCCGGCGGCTTCGCGCCTTCTCTCTCTTTCTCTCTCTCTCTTTTTTCCTCTATGTGTTTATCTGTCTCCGCCAGGACGAGAAGAAAGTCCGAACGATCGGCAAACATTGCTCTTTCACGCGTCTGAGTTTTTCCGCGTGGGAGCGACTTGCTGGATTTCTGTTTCCGTTTCGTGGTTTAGCTCTTACGTCGCATGTAAAGGACGAAAACGGATACATCGATAGTTCCTGAAGATACGCTTTGTTTTTCAAATGTGGATAAACATGATTCGCAATCGACCGAGATCGCTTTTTCCTCTTGGGAAATTTATGCTTCATTACTCCAGCTGTCATTATAATTGCAGAGAATAAAAAGAGAAAGATAAAGAGAGAGAGAGAGAGAGAGAGAGAGAGAGAGAGATGGTGAGAGAAAATGTCACTTTGTTACGCAACGAAATACAGTTCGCATGTGGAGATAGCGCGAATTAAAATCGCCTCATGATCGAATTTGCAATTTAACGCACCACCGGTTGAAGTGGGTGAGAAAGCACGGCGACGTTTTCTCGCCTGAATGGAGCCGCGGGCGATTAATTCGGAGCGACAAGAGAGAACAACCAACGTATCTCTCGAGCGTGTTCTCTCTTGGTCACGATTTTTTTTCTTCTCCTTTTTCATAACGTTCGGCGCTTCTCCGCTTCGCGGGAACACGATTGACGTATCAGTTTGTTACATAAACGATCGAATATGCCACGTTTGCGTGATTCTATCGTTAATTACTGTCTTGTGTGTCTGTTTCACGATGCGGGATGGGGAAGGGTGAGGGGAGGGCTCGAGATCACCGAGTCGATCTCGCTGATCAGATACGACTGTATTTGATGATTTGGCTGCGAAACGGAAGTGCTCGTCAACAGGGCATGTCCCGAAATGATATTCGGTCTTATCGCGCGAGATAGATCCAAGGTTGAGCTATCCATCAAGAGGGCAGTCGTGTGTCGCGATCGTGAGCGGAAATCCGAAACGCGGATTCCGTTTCTGCGTTTCTTCGTTCGCCGGCTTCCCCCCGGCTCGAGGTTTCTCGCGGGCCGCGTCCCGGCTGAAATTCGCGCTTTCACCCTGAAATTTTGATGACACACGAAGCCAGGTGTCCCGAAATAATAATTAGCGGTTGGCACACGGTGACCGACCTAATGCGATCCTTTGATTCCCATGGACAGACGTTGCCGTGATTTCATCCGCGATCCTTCGAGGATGTCGCGTTTGCGCAAGGGCGACGAGCGGGACATTGTCAAATTTCCAAAGCCGCCACGGTGAATCGGAACACGTGGGCAATTCGTTCGTGTTCTTCCCTCCTTCTTTCCTTCCTTTCTCGCCTGTGGGACAGCGATGACATTTGCGACGACATTGGCGCGGCGTTTGAATTTCGTCGCGTCGTACACGCCGCTGCGTGTCTTCGCGAACGTTGCAGCAAAGGAGATACAACCTTGAGATACATTGGAGAATTAAGGACTACGAGCTCGTTCGCGCTCGCCCGAGTCCGTTCATTTGCATTCTGCTACGCATCGGCATCTTCCGTTCCGCGCACGCGCGCGTCTCAGCGAGCCCCTCAATTTTCGAAACACGTTCCGTGCCAATTAACGATGCATAATTGGCGCCTGCGAGCTTTTCCGAGATTGACATGCAAAGTCCGAGGAATTGGACGTCCGGTTACGCGTTGACTCACGCGATAAGACCGGCTTAGCGCGCCGCTTATCTCATTCCCCCACCTGCGACGGCAAATTTAAACGTCTGTTTCGCGAACGGGGCTTTTCCGTAACCGTGTCTTCGTTTCCAGAGCGCTTTCTGATTATACGTATTATTAATGCTAATTTATTCTTAATCCATGCCCTGCAGGTTTTCGGATGGCTCCCGGTTTCTACGAATACATTTATCTGTTTTATTTTTACCCCATATATCCTTTTCTTAATATGTCTATCCACACTACCTCCTGCCTTGTCCCTAAGTTTTTACACACTTCTTCTAATCTATCCTATTTCCGTAATCAACTCAATTACATCATATCACAGTTAAAACGCAATTAACCTACATTGCAAATCCAAGTGTGTTGATTTAGCCGAAGCCTTTCTTACACACTTCGTTTTGAATTACGTCATTTAATGCGATTGAAACGTGTTAACTTATAATTTAACACGACTAAACGTTTTAAATAACGTAACCTAAAACGAAAAGTAACGTATAATATTCATTCAGTCAAATGCGTCATTTTGAGATATTTATGCGTGTGAAAATAATATACTTGGATTCGCAGTGTACTATTCATTGATTAATAAATATTATAATTATGACAACAAGAACACAACATGGTCTATTATGTTTCTTTATGATCTGTCAACTATCTTTATGAAAACTAAATAAAAACTAACTGTAAACTAAAGAAAAATAATATGTATTATTTTTTATATATCATATTTTCGCAAATCTTATAATTTGAGTAATTCGAGCAACGCAACTCGCGGACTTTTCGTGATCACGTATTTCCAACAACACGCTGAAAAATTTAAATGTCTCATTCGCATACGAAACTCCTTTGTAATCCTATCCTTTTCAGAACGCTTTCTAATCGTGTATTATTTTTATGTCATGATCTCGCAAACTCCGCAACCCGAGCAACTCGCGAGGTCTCGCGAGATCGCGGATTTTCAATAACGCGCTTCTCTCACGGCGCAGTGAGTGTGGAGCAATTCTTCAATTGCGTGCGTTATGCTCCGACTATTTTATATTATTAGCGTTGCGTCAAGACGTGGCAAGCACATTTCAAGAACAGCAGGAAACAAACGGCAGCATCCCTTTTCTCCTTACGGCCGATTTCGCACGGATCGTGTTGCGGCGCGCGTGTTGCGTGCCGACCGAGTGCCACGCACAGCACTCGCAGGCACACATACGTTGTTCTTAATTAAATTATCTGTCTGCTCGTTAATTAAATATCGGAGTGATTGCAAAATATGCAACGAGGATGCCGTGGGAAGGTCCGCTTTATTACTTTTGCGCGATTCACCGGGCACGAACGGTTCACAGCGTTGGAAAAGCGCCGCTCGGCGCGCAGCGTCTTTTGTCCGTCGGTTAATTTTTCGAGAGTGCGACGCTCATGACGTCGGTAAACCGTTCCCGGTCGAAGAGCACATCGAGAAATCGTCGACTGGCACGCTCACGAGAGACGATTCCGAAATGAAAAGTAAACCTCGCTCGACTTAGAAGTTGCGATTTATCACTTATTTATTTATTAACGGTAAATTATAAAGCCTGAGGGAAAGAAAAGGGGAAAAAATATAATTAGCGCGGAAAATGCTCATGCGATGCAAATAAAGAAACGAAAGAATTTCGCGACGGCTCGGTGTCTTCGCACGAAGCGTGCTGCTCACCCGGTATAAGCCCCGGTAATTTCATAACGACTTGACTTCCGAGCATCTTCTTTCCTGTCGCCGGATGCCAACAAAGAAACATGAAAGTTAGTCCCACGTTTCTCGCCGCTCGCCGGGCGTCAAATAATTCAATCGCGGATTGGTGATATATTTTCGACGGGGGATCTTCCGCGTGCACATGAGGAATTCACCGACAATACCGGCACCCCGATGATAAATTGATATTGCGACACGTTTTTATTAATATTTAAAACGCCCGAAGCGAGGACGAATTCGCGGGAATCGTATTGTTCGCACCGATGCGCCGTTCCATATTAATGGCACGTGTAAACGCTCGCGGTTAATTACAAGTTCTCGCGCACAATTTATTACGTCACATTACGCAACGTGATTATGATTGACATCCTCGGGAGAAGCGGAGGTTAACGAGAGACGGAGACAGAGACAGCTGAGAAGCAGAGAGACTCGCCGGAGAGTATCATATTTTGTGTGCGACTCATTTTTGCTCCTTCGCGTGATTAGAACCTCCTAGTCGCTGTTGCGTCACACCTACTTTTCTGTCGCATGCATTTTTATTGTGTTTTACTTTACGTAACCAACACGGCGTTCAGATCATAATGAAGAACGAGTGTCTCGCGAAGAACGACGTCTTGTTTATCGCTGAGCAAATTCTGATACAACGAAGATAAACGGGAAAAAGTCTCAGTGCGACTCAATGAGAACCAGATGAATATTCGATGCACCGAGAAACTCATTTGGTTGACTTAAACAAAATGTTTGTTCGGATATGAGCAAACAAATGTTTCAGTGGTGAGAACCAACATTTGTTGCTCCGAACCCAAAAGTTATCCGAGTCGAAATTTAAAAATTCTACATTTCGAGCGGAGAAAACGGCAATAACTTTCCCATTTGTAGTACCAAAGAAGCACAATTGGAGACCTTTGAACGCTTAATGTGGAACTAAATTAGACTTAAAGTAGGACTGAAATTTCGACTCGGGTAGGTTCACTGAACGAAACCTTTTTTGTTCTCGTCTCAGAGAACCAAACTTTGGTTCTCGCAACCGAAATATTCATCCAAACAAGCGGTTTCTCTGCACGGAGAAGAAAGATCGGTCGAATTAACGTGATAATGAACGAGACAAACGCGTGTTTCGGTCGGAGGAAACGGAAGGTTTCATTTTCACGAGCTAAATTTGATTCTTAGAAGCAGAAATTCTGCTCCCTCCAAGCGGAACGCGCTTCAGTTCGTTCACTTAACCGATCCTTTTTTCCCCCGTGTATTACCGTGATCGAGAACATTCGTGTCTGAATATTTCAAACTTGCTCGAGACAAGCGAGAAAATCGGACTGAATGGAAATCTCCCGCAGGAATCTTTCCGTTCCCACAACCGGCTTCCCCGTTTGGTCCCCGTTCTTCCCAGACGACGGAAAGTTCAGTTACACCAACGGGATTGTTTTCTTTCTTTCTCCGTGCAAATACCCGAGCCGATTCATAAGCAGCTGCGATTCTCGCCGAACAATTCCAACCGAAGTATCTCCGTTCGCGCGTCCGCGATCCGAAATCCATCCAGGCGAAAAATCCTTTTTCGCGTCGCGCCGGAAAATCGCGGTTGAATCGCTCGCCTTATCGCTCGCCGGTGCTCCGCCAGGTTTATTACAGGTGTGCCACCTGCGGCACACAGGCCCGCAGGTTTGCGACGTGCACGTACGTAACACGGGTACGCATTCGCCGAGTCGGCTCGTTCCGTTTTATCAGTTAGCACGACTCGAACGAGCGAACGCACCAATGAACGTACGTATGTACGAACGAACGAACGAAGCGGCGCGCGTTGTCCCACATTTTCAGTCGCACGTACACGACAGCGCATACCGCAGGTGCCTGTCAATCGTTCGTTCGTTCGTTCGTCCGTCCGTCCGTTCGTTCTCTCTCGCGGCATATCCTAGATATTCCGGTCTCGGATTCGCCGCCGTGGCGGAGGTCCGCGCGGACACCGCGCCGCGAGACCAGAGTCGCATCGTGCCTCGTCGCACGCGGATGCACCGTCGCCGTCGCATCCGCCGTCGTCCTCCCGTTGCCGCTCCGCAGTCAACGCGACGATGTTTCCGGAAGCGAGGGCTTTTTCAGCCACCGCCGCCGCCGTCGTCGTCATCGTCGTTCGCCGCAGGTGCGTCGAACGGTAAGATCGAGATCGCACCTGGGCGATCGTGTGTGTGCCCCGTCAAACCCGCCGAATTCGTACGTGTCGCTGTGTGCGAGGTGGCCGAGGTGCGTGCGTGCGTACGTGCGTGCGACTCACGTCGGTTGGTCGGCCGCTCGGCCGTGTCAACCGCCGCCGAATGCAGAGGAGCGAAGGTAATTAATCAGTCGAAGGTGGGTTCTTCTTTGGCGGTTCCCGTCATTCGGGATTTACCGACTCTGCAGTCTCGGTATTCCGGGCGCATAGCGTGCGCTAATATAATATAAGTGCTCCTTTGATGCTACACAGGGAATTTCGTCCTCTGGAACGGAAATTTTACTTCTGCGTGAAGTTTTCGAGTGGATAAAACGGCAATAACTTCCCCACTTGTAGCACCAAACGAGCACGATAGGAGACCTTCAGACACCTAACGTAGAATTAAATTAGACTTAAACTAGGACTAAAGTTTCGACTCGGGCACGTATCCGGAATACGGGCCTTCAGTTTGGGCTCGTTCGGCCGGCCGGTCGTCCGCCTTCTTCTTCGTTCGCCCAGATTCTGCCGAGCGATCGCTCGCCTCGGAGAGAGACGTCCGTTGCGCGTTTGTTTCCAGCTGATTTCCATCCGGCGTGGCGCCGCGTGCGCCGCGATCATCGTAATTAGCATGCGGCTATTGTTCAAATTAACGATCGACGCGCTCGACGTGGCTGTCGTAAATTCCGCCGGCCGATAGTTTCGCTGCGTCTCCCGACGGCCGCAATCGCACGCATCCCTGCGCGCCCACTTGCCGCGCGATAAGTCACTTTACGACGAATAATTGCGCAGCGACTTTTACTCACGTACGCGCGCGCGCACGCGCCGTCTACTTTTCGCCCGTGAATCTCTGACATCTCCGATGAGTCGTCGCCGACGTCGTTATCACGGCGGCCGTGTGTAATCGTGAGATACGATAAGACGACTCCTAGATAACCACGGTGACCCATTTTATCGCGCGAAGAAAATCAGATGCATAGCAGGCTGGAACAGTCTTCAGATTTTAATCGCAGGGAGCGGTCATGTGCGATTAGGGTGAGAGAGATGGAGGAGGCGGGAAACGGGAAAAACGGGAAAAACTGGACGGACCAGAGGTAAACGTTGACTTCGTTTGCGTTTTATCGAGCCGTTATTGCGAGCGAAGCGCCTTTACGAGCTCGCAGCTCGATCATTTCTCCGGGGACTTCTGCGAGATTCTCTCGTCGTCTGATTTACGGGTCGTGCGTCTCGTCCGTTTTACGGAGCGGGACAGAAACGTTTAATCATGCAAAAATCGACGGGCCCGCGAAGATCGGCCCGTAACGACCGGATCGATGACCCTGCTCGAACGAGCGTCTCGTCTTACCTGAGTGATTCATCGATCATTGGGGCTCGCATCGACCGGGTGTGCGACACGAACAGCGAACGAGATAACTTTTATCGGGCTGCGCGCACACTTTCTGCGCGCGGCTTTTTTTTTCCCCCGAAGCTCTCTCTTTTTTTTTCTGCCGCCGGAAGCCGAACCGCTTGTCCCGAGACGAAATTTTGGTCCTGCGTTAAGTCTATTTAGCTTCGCATTAAGTCTTCGAGTGGAGAAAACGGAAATAACTTCCCACTTTTAGCATCAATGGAGCACAAGAGTTAGGAGTGGAAGACCTTTGAAGACTCAACGTAGAACTGAATACGCTTAATGTAGAATTAAAACTTCGATCGGGATAGCATAGTGAGAAGGAAGAAGAAAGGGGAGGGGGGAGGGAATACCGGAACATATTTGTGCAGCTTGGAGGAATTCGCGAATGCAAGAGATTTACAAGCCGCGCCAGCGAGAAGCGACCGTTAAAACTCTTCCCTCGTAAAGTTCGATCCGCTGCCGCGCCGCAGCGTTCGAATTCCGCGAGGACGGATGCGTGCCACGCATCGTTAGAACTCCTTCGTGACACAGCCATAGTGGTTTCCGGCCGCAGACATCCAACGGCGCTTCCGGTTTCCAGCCCTCCATCGCCGCGCAATGAATAGGGGAATTAGTTGATTTCGCGTTGTCAGATGCAATCGCCGTCCGCCGTCGTGCAAATTTCGCCGCGGCTTTTTCGCTTTCCTCCCTTTTATTTCTACCTTCTCCCTCGACAACGAGCCTTGATTATGACGGTATATTCGCGCGTACATTTCGGTGCGCGCATGTGACGCACATGTCGCGAAATCGGCGCGCCCGTTTATAAATGTTTTCATAACGCGATTCCGTTTATCACGTAAAAAAGAGCCGGGACTACGCGAGATATCGCCGGGTATATAACGGAGGATCTGGGAAACCGTAATAACGAGCAGCGATTCTATTTCATCTGCTAACGCTACCGTTATCAAGCAGCTTCTCTCTCTCTCTCTCTCTCTTTCTCTCCCTCCCCCTCTCTTTCTCACTTACTCCTCGCGTTACGCGTGTTCGCGAGCTGCGAGTCGCGCTAATTGATTATCGAGATGTCCGCAGACTTCTCAACGCGTGCGGAAGGTGCGTTCGACGTTCCACGTGCAAAAACGTACGAATATCCGTCGCGTTGATGAGATACAAAGTCTCCGAAACGACGAACGTTTCCCCCGCGGGAAAACCCGTTTTTACCGGACACCCGTTGGATAGCAGCTCGCGTTAACAGTTCTGTTATTGTACGCGGGTGTAACTTGACGACAGGTGTAGAGACGCGACCACGTACACGGTGTCCTGCGACGAGCGTTTCGCTTTCACGTACCGTCGTGTTTTCGCGTGTTTCAACGCGCTATGCGTTCCCGCTTTCCGATTCGACGCGAGATTTTCCGCTGTGCGCGGACGACGTTCGTGGTATGCGCGATTTGCATCTTCGTATGCTGCAATGGAGTTAGCACATCAACGCGCTTTCGCGTCTCGATTTTGAAGCGGAAAATCGCGACCCGCGCGAAGGAAACGAGATTTTATTCGGGGGATTGCGTAAGGTAAAAGTGCACTGAAAAAGAGGATTCGGTAAGGATTGTTAAAATTTGGTGAATATTTGCCGAACGAATATTTGATCGCAGCCGAATAATTTAGTTTTGTATATTGTATATACATGCAGAAAAGAAATAGTCTTAAATCAATGATATTTTCACACATACAAGCGAGAATATTGTAATATTCTTTTCCCGATCTTTCGCTAATTTGCACAGACCCGTGCATATATGTTTGCTCGATTTGCGTCGTTGTTCGCGTTATTCGAGACGTCGAGCCTCCGTTTTCTGCGTAATCTGCATGATCCAAAGTTTCCGTAACGCGCTCTCGAAGTCGCGCATTCGTACACACGAACGCCTCGTGAGCGCGAAGCCGAACAACAGAGCCGCACCACACCTGTAACAGACGGAATACATTAATGAATCCTTCCTCACCTGACTATCGGTCACCTGACTCATTTCCGGCCGGGCTGAAAAGCCCCCCGGTACGCTGAAAATCGCCGATACACAATTGTACCTCGCGCGCATCCGCTGCCGAGATGTAATCACGGAGCGCGAACAAAAAGCCCGTCATTGTCGTTGCGCGTTTGCGGGGAGCGGTGAAAGTTAAAACGGTGAACGTCCAACCGTCGCATATTTTCATATTTACTTCGTCCATTCGCGGCGCACGGATCGCGAGTGCGTGCGTTTGTTTGGAATCCACGGGTTTAAAAAAATCCAGAAAATGTGTGGAAAATATGTAAGAAATTGTCACGAACGATTGCCGAGAAATCGCCAGATAATTGCCGGGATTAAAGGTCGATGTAACGTGCGGAAAGTATGCGATAAGTTATCACCGCTGTCAGCGCTATTATCGCTCGGAGACGTTCCCGTTAACGTTTCATCAGATTGGAATGTTCATACTTGGTCAATGGAATAACTAAGTCGCGCCCCGCTCGGGCGATTGCTCCATAAATAGCGCAAAATATACGGCTCGGTGCGGCGGGGTGGACGAAAGAAAAAGAAAAGAGAGGAAGAAAGCAAAACGGTGGAACCAGTCCGGTGCAAGGTGCAACACGTGCTGTGTCCGACAGCTGTTTTCCGGTTTAAGTTCGGACGTTAAGTCCATTTTTAATTTCGCGCCTGGACGCACCTCCAAATAATCATTATTATATCGTGACACACATACACACGGGCAGAGGGCGGGTGGATCCTACCGTCAGTTACGAACTCGAAAGTCACTCATCGAAACGCGCACGGTTTATTCAAGCGTGCACGCAGACTACGTCGAGTCTTGGAAAACACGCGAGACGGAAGTCGTAGGTCGCTGTGAAAATCACGTACGCGCGTTTCATTTCACTCTGAATAAAAAATTATTTGTGGCGCCTAATATATTTTATAGTAGTAGCGACATACATGGTAAGATTATTATCACTGGCGTTATAGTAACTTGCTAGAAAAATGGTTCTCCTATTTTTGTGGTTAAAATAAAATAAAGGTATATTTGGAGACGAAAATAACTGTAATTTTCTACCAGTGTGTTCAGAAAAAAAAGCCTTAAATCAATGATAAATATTCTCATATATAAGCAAGAATATTATATTTTTAGAAGATTTACAAATTTCAATACAAATTTCATCACAAATCAAGACTAAAAATCTAAGAAGATTATAATATTCTGGCTTATATGTGAGAACATCTACCATTGATTTGAGACTAATTTTTTCCCGTGTGCTTATTACACTTAACGGAAACGTCCTTCGGACGACGATAATACGTTATGATCGGTCTGAACGTCGCTTTGCAGATAGTTCGACGTTTCCGCTCGATGTAAGAAACGGGGAGAGGAAAAACGGCAAAGTAGCGGCAAATTTTGCGTCGACCAGCAGGCCGATCTAAGCCGGCGCGATGGAAGACGAGGACTTCGGTTTCACGAGGAGGACCGACAACGTCCTGAGGAAGGTGCGCACCGTTAGCGGCAATGAGAAGCCTGACGACAGGAAAACGTTTCGCGACGACGGACGACTGACATGTTCTCTGCCTAAGGTCGGTCCGTTTCTCATCCGTCCATAATATGAAGGATTCTTCAAGTATGTTCCTTTATGAACGTTAATAATCTGAGAGCCCGATGAGAACTCACAAGTGAATGGACGAATAAATCGATGGTCTCGTAACGATTTTCCGGGAGCATACGATTTTAGAATTTTACGAAAACGTTTGTAGAAACGTAACAATTATCCTGCTAATCGGTCTAAATTGTAACGTTCATCTAAGGTAAAAATACCAATACCCAAAGGCACGTACGTAAACCTGAACACTCTTATTGTTTTGGTCTTTAAACACGAATATCTAAACTTTCAACATAGAATATGCGTATATATTTAATACTTAATAATAATAATATTTTCATTTCAACGTTCTACGCTTATAAAATTTGTCCACTGAGCTCTGAGACATTCCATATATTCTATATTGAATATTTAAATATTCATATTTAACCGTTTGAGTGCCAAGGGCCTTTCTCATTTCCCGATCGAAACTTGCCAAGCGGCGCGATAGCGCTTGTTATATTCCGTGTCGAAACTTGCCAAGCGGCGCGATAGCGCTTGTTATATTCCGTGTCGAAAATTGCCAAGCGGCGCGATAGCGCTTGTTTTATTCCGTGTCGAAATTTGCCAAGCGACGCAATTGCGCTGTTTTCAGCTTACATGCAATAATCATTTCATATCTTTTTTTACCGAAGATTGAAAGGTCACCGTAAAGTTGTGCATCGAGAAAAACCGAGCCTGTGATTATGGGCTTCGCAGCCCAGAGCGTTGCAGTTTTCAGAAGAGAACAGAAGAAGCGCGATCGCGCCGCTTGGCACTCAAACGGTTAAAGACCGGAACAATAAGAATGTCTAGATTAAGATACATGCCCAGATATTAGTATTTTTACTTGGGTGTTTTCCATTATTCAAGAACTGTCGAAATGTACGTCATTCAGACGCGGAAAACATTTGAACGCGCGCTCCTTGAAACATTGACGTGTACGCGAGACTCGGGGCTCCTTAACATGCGCGTTATGGAAATACGAGAGCAGATTGACGTCTACAGCTCGATAAAATGCCATTAGACATCGGAAGTCGTTGGCGGTGGTGGTGGATCAACGACACCAGCGCCTCCGACCGCGGCCGGAAGCGACGGCCGTGAACGCGCGTCAACCGCCGGCTCAGTCGTGCCCAACACGCCGGACATACCGAACGTAGTGGAGTACCATCTTAAAGTGAAGCCTAGGTCAACTACGAGGCACTACCGGCTCGATAACGTTCCCGTGAGTAGCGGCTCTCGTGGAGAGCGCGTTTGAGGTCGCAGGTTTCTGGCGAGAGACGGTCGTCGTCGAACTGACGTTTCCATTAGTGCGTTGTCGACGATTCCGAATAACGTTTCGTTAGTTCGTCGGGACTCGTCACTGTCGATCGTTTTGAATATCTAATCACTGTTGTGCAGCGTCAAATTGAATACTTAACTGCTCTCTCTCTCTCTCTCTCTCTCTCTCTCTCTCTCTCTCTCTCTCTCTTCCCTTTAACATTATTTATTCCCCATTAGTCTGCTCTTTTTAGCTGGAAATTGGCTGTACTACTTCAAGAAGTTTATGTACACATTGATGCGTATGAAGTTCTCACGTTTCAGTATGTGTAAATTTCTTGAATTAGTGTAATCAGTTCAGTTAAAAAGAACAGACCACACATGTCAGAAATTTACATCCGACTGACGAACAAAAGAAAGAGCCGTTAGTCCGCTTCTGTTGTCAGCTCGAATTCTTTTCAGACGGCACGCAACAACTTTTGACATTTTCTTGTTATGCGTTGTCGTATTTAGACGCGAGGTCCCAAGTTAACACACACAAATGAAAATACAATAAAAACACCAGGATATATATCAGCGAGCAAAAGTTCAACGTCTCCAAATACGTACAACGATCAAAACAAAGAGTCTGTCGCCAAAAGAAAGCGATTGTTACCCAAATAATTAAATTTTAATTCAAATAATTAAATATATTTCTACAGTTTATATATATATATATATATATATATATGTATATATATATAATCACTGATGTTTCATTAATTTTATTCATGCAGCGTCCTCGAATTTCTTTTTGTTCGGAGAGAGTTCTCGTTAGTTAAATCACGCGAAGGCGACCGTTCCTCTGACCCGACAATTAAAATTTGAGGAGGAAGTCGCGTCAGCTGGCGGCGATTAATCGATTTAAGAGATATGAATTTGAAACACAGAGGGACCAGTCTCGGGAAGAAATGAAGGAGGAAGAGAAGAAGAGCGCCGTCGACGAAGACAAAGATCTCGCGTGGAAGCTGACGCGATTGTCCATGAACAACGCGTACGAGGGCTCCACCGATCTGCCGCAGATGTTTCAGGTATAGTTTCCCCGCGGGGACTCGATGCGCTTGAGAATGCTCGCGCTGATATTTACTCTATACCTGTTCCGGTAACGCGTAGACTCTCGGAACTTAATTGACGATGCATTAAATCAGGAAAGATATGCAGACGCGCACCAATAATATAAAAAATATAAAACAATGAGAAGGTTCCTTGATATTCAACCAACTAAATTGGATAAGTGGCAAGGGACGAATGAGAACCGGCATGTTGACACGTTGGTGCGCCAAAAATTTTAAATTAATATTTTCGTGTTTTCTGCAATACGATGTTCAAACGCGGAATACGCGTTTTTGAGGAGAGAATACTCGCCGGGAACGGGTTTCCTGTTCAAATTTACATGGGGAAAAATGTGATTGCATTAACCAGAGAGGGAACAACCAGATGCTTTCTAGTTGAAGGAAACAGAATTTCTTATGACCCTGATGTGGCTCTTATAGTTGGGAATTCTGTTTTCTTCAACCAAAATGCATCTGATTGTCCCCTCTTTCAGATTAATACAACCAAACTTCTTTCCCATATAAGAATCGCTATGTGACGGGCGTGTACGAGTCGTATTAGGTGACGCAAGACGCGAAGCGATCGGCGCTTCGAATTTCGAACGCTGGAATTCCTAGGCGAAGCCGGTGAAGGAAACGGCCGTTACGATTTCAAGGTCTCGGTGGTCGGTCCTCGGACGGTCTGTTTCGCGTCGGAGACTTTAGCCGGGCCCTTTGCAGGTGAGATACCTCGGCTCCCACGATGCCAGAGGCCTCTGGGGCATTAAGCACACGAGGAAGCCCGTCGATAACATGGTCTCGGCGGCGAAGGCCTTGCCGACCAACACGATGCTTCCTCTCATCAATCTGGTGGTCTCTCAGGGTGGAGTTACTTTGTCGCCGTTGGACAAGAGGAAGCAGGACCCGGGCTCGTCTAAAAGGTATCCGATCGATACGATCTCCTACGGGGTGCAGGACCTCGTCTACACCAGGGTCTTCTCCATGATAGTCGTCCAAGAGACAGACAATATCCGGAGAATCGCGCCGTTCGAATGCCACGGTTTCGTTTGCGAGTCCAAATATCACGCGAGACAGCTGACGCACGCGCTCGCTACCGCCTTCGAAATTTACTCCAGGATTGTACGAGCTCAGGGCAAGCTGGCCGAGGTCGGCGGCAACACCGTGAAGAAGCGATTAGCCATCGACCTGAGGAGTCCCGAGGAGATCGAGGCGGATCTCACGACGGACTCCGAGGCATAGCTGCGGAATTATCGTTGTCTTTCGTTAAGCTACTTGGTAAGACGCGAGTAGACGCGGGCATTTGGCCGGAAAAGTTTGTCTCGGAAAATTAGCTCGCTTCCGACGATGATGAGGAAGTGGGAGATTTATTTTTACGGGTATTCATACGCGACGAAGATATCTTTCGGAAGGACGACACAGGGTAAAAAGTTTTATCGCTGGATTTCCGGCGAATGTCTCCGCGATTTGTCGGTGGTCGTTAATTCTTCGGGTGTCGCAAATCTCACGAACGCTTGTACGACGTTACTTGAAATTGAGTTGAAAGGTACGTACGGATGCGGAAGATCTAACTCGACGTGAGATTTAATATATGTACTTTACTATACTCAAAGATAAGTTTGTTGGAATGTATTTTTAGAGAATTACGCGTTAGTTTAGCTTTGTATATGCATATATAAGCGTACTTTTCTATTTATAATATAACATAAATAGGAAGAATATTATTAAATATATAATTCTGTAAATAGCCACGTGGAGTACAATCAGAGAGAATCCTTATATGGAGTATCGTTATCGTAGATAGATTAGGCGCGTTCTTACCAATATCGCGTATGCAAAGCGTTTTTATACCGTATCCCGTTTGAGAAGAGACGACTGCTAAAAGTGCATCTTAATGCGCAATTTTCTTTGATTCTTCTTCCAATCTTCTGATCGATGATCCGGAGAACAGAGAGTGTGTTATTCGATTTAAGTTCATTTATTTAATAGCCGAGATGCTGCATCTGTGTACGCATTCGAAGACGAGACGATCCTCGGGGACATCAGGACGTCGTTACGTGGATATGTGTGTTCGTATAATTGTTGCTTCGTTTAATATTTTATCGGCATCGCGAAAAGCTGGATGGGCTGTCCCGCCTGTCCAAGACATGATGGCTAGCTATCCAAAGATATCGAATAGAAAACGACGGAACGCGATGGAGTTGCGGATGGTGTTTCACCGAGACACGTCGCGACAACTTGCGCGATTTCGCGACAATTTCTTGTCTTCTTTTTGCCGATCAACGGTCGACGAATCGGGCGATGATATTGGATCTATCCCTAGCCGCTTTATGTGTGCGTGTGTGTCCCTAAGTTTAAGCCGTTATTACTCCGAAATCACAAATTGCACATCGGTGGAGGATTCATTCGTTCCGGAAGGCCTCCGCCGTTCTGTTCAACGCGCTTTTGTTTCTAATATCTTAGTCGTTAGAAGTTAAGTTCGTTTTAGATTAAGTTAGAGACCAATCAATCGATACATATCAGTCACTGTACCGCGCGCAGTGTTGTCAGCTACGACGACGCTCCCCTTACCGCAATTTTGTACATTGCTTCGCTTTAGTTCGTAAGCTCTTTTCGTTCTAGTAGTACCTTTCCGTTTCCTCGCGACACCGCTGCATGTCTCACGACGTTTCGCGCACCTTAGGCTTGGGACATTCGTGTAACACTTCGTATAATCACACCGGGCCTCGTGCTTTCGTTAGCTGGCAGTATTTTACACGTGTATTCGACCTGTACTTACGTTGTTAATTGTGAGCGATAAAGCGTATCAACAGGATTCACTGTGGATTCTTGGAGAACCTCCCCTCAACACGACGACTCGTTGCGGGTATCGCGCTTTGTATTCAAATCAGCCGGTCCGATCTTTCGTAACATTCCTCGTTTTATTCGACGTTAATTACAGAATAGGATCATCCGAGATACTCTCGCGCTAACACTTGCATCCTACCGTTCACGTGCGACCCGCACCGTACATGACTTTGTCTTGCGCGCGAGACGCAACGTTTTACGTCCGACCAATAATTTAAACTTGCGTTAACTACACGAAAGCGAGCCGACGAGCGACCTACGAGAAGCAACGAGTACCATAAAACACTAAATGAGCGTTCGGTCGATCGTGGGAGGCCGGCGTGATTGATTCCACGCGCAATCGCGACACCTCGCGCAGGGCTCCCTTCTGAACGAGGAGAAACGAGACTCCCCTTCAGTAATGTCGGAACAATCTCTCGCGATCCACCAGTCTCGAGCTCCTCGTCGGCGGTTTCTTCGACACCGGACTCTGGACTTCGGACTCGGGAGTTTTCGTGGCACTCTCCTTCCCCCGTTCCAGGTCCGCTTCTTCTTCCTCCTCTATCTCCTTGCCAATTTCCTCGTTCAACGCGTAGTACTTTTCCGACTCTTCGCATGGTATCGAGCTCTCCGTTCGTGTGCACACGAATGTCGCCTATGTGTGTGTGAAATCGAAAGACACTTGATGAAGTGACCGTTTCCGACCGAGCGGGACTGACGGCGACTAAATAGCTGCTACTTTTAATACCGGCGGCGCTTTTCTTTTAAATCTCATTCTTCGAGAAATACAGTAAGTTTGTAATAACGTGTAATAAAAATAATGATAAAGTATTTGAACCATTTGAACGTCCAATATTACGTGACATGTGTAATTACAACATATTATGTTATTCGATTTCTTTAGATCCAGCACGAAAATAAGCACCGTGTGCCAAGAGCTTAATGTGACGTTCCTTGGCTTTTACTTCTCCCTCGTGATACGACGTAATTGTTAAATGACCCCGGATTAAATTATAAAAATTATATATAAGTTATATAAATTAGAGATTATATAAATTACAAATTATATAATTATAAGCACAAATTATAGAAATAAAATGAAAACCCGCGCGAGAATATCGGGAGTATCGAGGAGACAGGACGCGTTAGGAACTTACCTGATTGAAAACCGTCTCGGCGGGGCAGATGAAGCTCCACCGAATCGCGCCCCTCGCCTGCGGTAGGCACACGTGAAACACTTGACACTCGTTCTCCATGTCGGCGTAGTATCCGTAAATTCTGTCCTGGCATGAGAACGTGTCGACGATGTTCTCGCGGATCAGCGTCGCGTTGTCGGGCAGCAGCAGACCGCCGGTTTTCGACTGCAAGAAAACCGTCATTTCGTTCGGCACCAATTAACTCGGAACAACATGATTTACGGAGCGCGCGATATCGCGAAATACGCGGGATACGCAGAAATCGTGTGAAAACCTTGAATACCGGAGTGGGTCGCTTGGTTTTTGTCTGCTGGGGCAAACTCAGAGCCAGCGCGACGAAGCCGACGAACAGCAGGGCGAGGAGCTTTTCTCGCGCCATTTTCCCGAAACGAGCAGTGTGTTTCACGAGCGAGTAAAATTTCTTTCGTCTTCAGCTGATCGCCGGTGGTCTCTCTCTCTCTCTCTTTCTTTCTCTCGTCTGAGGTCGCGACTGATTCCCTCGGCAAATTTGACGTTTTATTGGAGCTCCGTGTTCGGGGATCTTGAGAAGACTGATGACTCGGTCCGCAGAAGGGTATTATATAGCGAAGTGCGCGTAAGGATCTTGAATATTGTATGAATGGCTGGTTCTTGGTACGTCGGAATCAGTAAGTTCATCACGTTTGGTCTGCCAATGACCATCGTCAGACGTTCGCATCATCCTCGAAGGCCCGATGCAAATGCCGGGCCGCTCTGATGGCCCGATGATGTGCTCATTTGGTAATTTCTATTTGCCTCTTTCCCTCGGAAGCAAAGACGGAGAAGAGTGTGTGCCCGGTTGGATTACACGACATTTTTTTTTATCAATTTACCATTAAATCGTGCGGTTATTTTGTACACGCGGAATTGTTTCGGTTATTTTGAGATCGCCGGAGTCGAAATTTTAGTTTTAAATTAAGTTTAAGTAATTCTACGTTAAGTTTTTAAATGGAGGAAATAAGTTCCCATTTGTAGCATTAAAGAACTTATTGTGCTTCTTTAAGTTTTCAGTGAAGAAAACGGCAATAACTTCCTATTCTTAGTATCGAAGGATCATAACAGGAAACCTTCGAAGATTTAATGTAGGACTAAAATTTTGCTCCTGTCGAGCAGACACCTTGAAAGGTCGCAAATACCTTCGTGCACTCTCTTTTTGAATTCACGACGACATCTTTTTTTCGACAATCGTCTGAGGAATGTCGAGTGATTTATTACGGAACTTACATTGTCTACGAAATATTAAACAACGACACGCTGATAATCTACCGCGATTAGTAGTCAAGCGCGTCCTCTCTCTCTCTCTCTCTCTCTCTGTTCTGTCAAGAGAAAGAGAACAAGTATTATGTCTGAAAGGAACCAAACGTGTTGAATCGCCTATGAGGATCCCGAAGAGGCATCCGTTACGAAGGCCGGATATAAATCACACGGTTGAATCGAGAGTACTCGTGTGTGCGAAAAACGTCAAAGCTCAATTCGGCGCGTCAACTTGAATTTTCGGCATCGACTTTATCGATCATACGAATTCTTCTTCTGTTCTTACAGTAATTTTGCATATTTTTCTCAAGACACGACGGTTCTACTTGGCCACTTTCCAACGAGGGCTTCGAGGGGAGGGTGCCACGCAAATTCGGTCGTCGAAATTCGAGGGCAGTCTCAACCGACGAGCCTTATCTTCGTTAAGGCCGCGTCACGAGCGGCATTTTTTCGGGACGTGAATACTTAAGTTTCTACAGGTTGGTGCGCACCCGCGATTGCGAAATCGACCCTGCTTTTGGTCATCGATCATCATGAGAACGACGAGAAACGCCTGATGGGCATTCGTGCTCTTCGTGCGTGAGCAACGATCTTTCTTTCTCTTTGTCGCGATTCGATTCGAGCTCATTCATTCCTGCCAAAAGAATTTTTATACGAAGGAGAGTTATGAATTTTTGTATGAATTTTTTTCATTTAATTATTATAAGTGTTATTACACTTATATATACCACTACTTGTATATACTACAAGTGGCATATACAATTACAGAAAGATAGTGGAACTAAAATAATTCAAATAATTCTTATTAATATATTATCTATTTTTTTATAATTAACTAAATGGCGGCGAAAGGCACTATGTTGTTATTACCATACTTCGTTAAGCCACTTATAAAGTGTAATTAATTGCCACTAATGAAGTAAGGTAAAAGATACGTGTAACTGCCGTATCTCTGATAGTTCAATCATCGGATAACTTTTTGCGCAATCGATGGAAATCAGCGCGATGATCATCATTTATTGCATTAACGCGCTCTCCCACCTCGAATTCATGCATCTTACAAGTAACGTCGTCCACCCGCCGTTCCATTCGTCATTTCGAGGAGACTTTCGGAGGACACGTTTTTCTCTCGCGAAAGACTTTGTATCTCGGTGGGCGATGCATGGATGCGCCGCAATCACGGCACAAATCTCGTCTGTATATCGCCGAATCGATCAGTAGCAAGGTGAACACCCTGAAAGTATCGCCGCTCTTTAAAGATTCCAGTCGCATTGTCCGTCGCGCCATGACGAGGAATACAAAGATTTCAGGATGGTCCACGCGGTGTGGCTGAGGAAGGTCGTGTGCGATTTGCTCAGCGGGACCGCCGAAGTTTCTCTTTGGCAGCGACGTGACGATTTTTCGTGTCATCTCGTCGATAAGCGCGATACCTGCAGGTCGAGGAGCTCGTGGCAAACGTGAATCGTGAATCTGATTGAATGAATATATAGCTTTTTTTTTGACAATGCTGCAGGACAAATGCGGCGCAATCATTATATAACGAGATCGTAATCTTACTTATATCACTCGTTTCTACTTGGTAAGAGAAAGGGGACATGAGAGAAGCACGAGGAAGACTCGTATACTCGTATAGTTTATTATCAAAAATTTTAGTACGTACAAGGTCCTGTAAAAATTAATTCGTTGTCCTGTCATAAGTTACTATTGTCCTATAAAGAAAATTCGAGGACGTGTAATTTTTTTGTTCTTTCTCGTGCGAGACGAACGTTCGCGCGGAGACGTTCAACTTTTGAGACTTGTTTGCTGTTTGCCGAGTCACGATACGAGTGATAACGTGTTCGCTTACGATAATCACAATAGCTGGGATCCTAACGAATCGCCCGCGCGTACGGCGAGCTAGCGTACAGGTACTCGTAAGTAACTTTGGTATGATTCAAGGCGATAATGAGACGCTCTGGTCGATTGAAGAACGCTGTGGTGTTTCGGTATGTGTGATAATAATTTGACTTTCGCGATCCAGAGAGACCGAAAGGGGAAAAAGAGAGATCCGGATCATCCCTGGTCAATGAAATTCCCGATACGGCGGGACAATAACTTAAATCAATAAATAAATAGGATAAATAACGGATCGTTGCGTCCCGAGCCGAAATTTTACATCCACATCAAGTCTACTTGGTTTTACGTTAAGTCCTCGTTAGGTTTTCCATCGTGCTCCTTTCGTGCTACAAATGGGAAGTGATTTACGTTTTCTCCAATTGAAGACTTAGGCCGGTATTCATAATCGGATCTTACATATAAGACCGTCTTGGGTTCATCTTTAGATGCTGCATGGCTTATTTTATTAGCTACGGAGCATATAAAGGTGAACTTAAGACGGTCTTAAATATAAGATCTGACTATGAATAATCCGGGTTTAACGTAGAACTAAGTGGACTTAACGTAAGACTGAAAGTTCGACTCGGGACTGCGTGTAAACGTGTCAACCTCGGGCTTTCGGACTGAACTCGTTATCTCTACAATAAATAAAGGTCGGTCGTGATATTACGATGAGATTCGCCGATTCGTCGTTCGATTCCCTCGATCCTTCCCGAAGCAGGATCGCTCCCCTATCACTTCCGGCGAGCTCTCGCGCACGCGCGAGGTTCGACGTCATTCCGTGGGCACGTAGGCGCGGTAAGCGAGGTCCATGGGGGTCTCGTTCGACGATCTTCCCCAGTAACCGTGATCGTGGTCGTCGTGGTCGTAGTGATGCTGATGCTGTGCGTGCTCGTAGTAGATCACTTTGGACGGATGGCCCTTCTTCAGCTCCAGCCAGAACCTCGTGGCGTTGATCAGCAGGGAGATGATGGCGATGACGAAGAACTTAAGCTGGAAGTGCGTACTGATGAGCTGCAGCAGCAGGCTGAGTTTCGCTTTCAACAGCATCGCCAGCCCCAGAAGCTTCTGCAGCTGCTTCTTCTTCTTCTTCTTGCCGAACTTGATCTTGCGCGTCTCCTCTGAGGAAAAGAATCGGCCGGGTTAAGAGAAGTGTGACTTTAACGCGCGTTAATTCGCGTAATCGCGCGACGCAGGCGAAGCCGCGCGAAGAAGGACAAATTATGGAGCACTGGCGAGTAACGCGGAGCAATTAGAAACGCAAAAGGCAGCCGAGCAAACTCGTTTTTCAGCAGATACGATCGCCGGCGATGCCCCCCGAGACAAGAATCGGCGCGAATGTATTTATACCATAATGGCCGGCGCAGATTTAATCTCTCCTGTGCGTGAAACTCGGTAGTTAATACTCGGAGCTGGAGCAGCATAATCCGGCAGATGCGAAAGAAGGATGGGGATAGTCGTCGGTCTCCGCTCCGCAGCGAGGAGCTGACCCACAAACCTTAACCCGGAGTGTATTTCGTCTGGCTTACGACGTAATCGGCCGCAGCCGGCGCGCGACTTTCTTGAGGAGTCACGCGGATCGCTTTCGCGCGGCCGAATTTCCTCGCCAGACAGCTATTCGCCACGCTCACCGAGATCGACACGCGTGTGCGATTTTTAATCGTCCTCTCGGCTCGCTCGGTTTCACTCGGTTTCAAGTCGATCGACCCGTCGAATAACGTGCGGATCAATCGGCGAGCACAACACAAACGTCCCGGCCCGGCAAATTGCTCCGTTTGTGTCGCCGGCAATTCGCCACGCTGGAGTACCGTACCAATTTTTTGCTCCAAAAGATAACGAAGATAATGCGCCGGTACCGTTACCGTCCATCTGCCTAAACGAGCTTTTTCGTCGGCCCGCCGATTAATCCCTCGTTAGAGCGATCGCCAGCGTCTCCGCCCGTTCCGCCTGCTTCGCCGAAATGGAATTATTAACTTTCGCGAGTCTCGTGCCCCTCTTCCACCCCCTCCCCGTCCTCGTTCGCCCGCCCAATTCGCGTCTGTTGACTTTTGCTGGAAATGATAGCCGGGACAATGGCGAGAGAGTAATGCGATTTGTTACCGTTACCGTCGATCTGCCCGAACCGGCGACACGCGCGCGCGAGCACAGTCGCGTGCAAACGCTTAAACGCTCGTTATTGACCCGGTGTGAGAGCGATCATGCGTCTTACTTGCGGTTCACCTTCGGGTCTCTCGGTCCCCCTTGCTTTCTCGCTTCTTCCCGGTCTCGCTCAGCGTCAGCCCTAATTCCTGCTCACGCGATCGCGCCCAGCCGGGCGTTAACGTTATGCAAACACAGGATGAGAGACGCGAGGTTCGTTCACCTTTACGTCGTGTCTCGTCTCGTGTGTCGATTTGCTTTGTCGCGCGATCCGGGATACGCGTCGCGCCTTGTTCATTCATAAACCCCATTCAGAATTCGTCTGACGATCGCGCCGATGCTTTCCTTCCGTATCGCTGGCGTTTAACGACTTCGCGCGAGCATCTCCGCCGCCGATTCGATTTATCCTCCGACTGAATGCAAGTAGGACGGTTCTTTCAATGGGCCGCTGATTGTCGCCTCGTAATTTTTCATTACGCGATCGTCGAGCGCTGGAGCGGGGATCGCGCGTGTAGAAATTAATTGTTATTTACGGTTAAGACAGTTCCTGTTCGAGATAGGCCGATTCTCGGTGGTTTTATCTCGCGTCCGCTCTTTCTCGCGCGACTACAACGGCGTCGTTTATGGAAAACTAGGAAAGACGGGTGTAACGGAAGAGAAAATCGGTGATCTCCGGCGTGGCCAGATGAACCGACTTCCTGTCGTTACAATCCTCCAATAAAGGAGGGTTCGTGCGAGATTGGTCGGAGTTAACCCAGGCAGACTTTTGTTCAACGGTGCTTCTCTGGATGTACGTACGAAGGAGAGCCCGACGACGACGACGACGACGCTTTATCATGCGTCCCACACGCCGTCCTGCCGATTAGGAATTTGAATCGCGACGTCGCCGGTCTCGATTTGCGCCGACTTCATTATGCGACATGCCATTCGGTAACGCTTCGCCCATACAAAGGATGACGGCGGATTTATGTAATTTAATACAGTAATTTATCGCGCGTATTATTAAATCCCAGCACTGATGTAATGTTGAAATAATATCATGATATAACTGATGAAATGATTGAAAAGTTGTAATAATTGAAAGAAGTAATTGGAAAATAATTGAAGAATGATTGAGAAGTGAATGGAATAAAATAATAAGAACATTTGGCGAAGATTCCGGGTTGGGGAAGCTTGTGTACACTGCAAATCCAAGTGTTATTTTTACACGCATAAACGTTTAAAAATGACACATTTGACTGAAGCCCTTTTTACAGGCGTTTCTCGCCGTTTTAGGTAACGCCACTTAAAACGTTTAATCGTGTTAAATTATAAGTTTACCAACACGTCCACTCGTGTTTTAAAACGGAGTGACGTGATTTAAAACGGCAAGAAACGTGTGAAAAAAGCCTCAGCTAAAATGACGCACTTGGATTTGCAGGGTAACAGATCGGTGAGGAGACGGTGATTTTATCGCGGGCGATTTTTCATACGCATGAAATATTTAGCCTCAACGAAAAGAAAAGAGATAAATATAATCGTCTCCGAAATTCCCCGCCTCGCCTTTCACATCGACGATCCTGATATCTTCCTGATATCTCACCTATCTCGTCATCCTGAGCCTCGTCCTCCCCGATGATGCCTTCGGCGCCGGTCTCCTGCAGATCGTCGACGACTTCCGCGATAATACCGCCAGCTTGCTCGAGCACCACGCTCATCGGCGGTTGACTCTTCTTCCCGGTAACCTCCCGCTCTATCTGGTCCAGGTCGCGAGCCAGTCTCGTTCTCAGGCAGTTGGCGCTGTTGTCCTCGAATATACACTCCAAGATGCCGCGCTCCTCGTCACGAGCGCTCTGATCCATCGCCTCCTCGCAGTGAGCATGTAGCGCGAGCCCGAGGAGGACTAAGAGGAAGATCGACGTGAGTGTCCTCATAGCCGGTTGGTCCGCCGATTTTCACCGATTTTCGCGACACACTGTCACCAAGAAGAATCGCGCGCACGATGACTCCGCCGATGACTCGCGTCCGTCGCCCTCTCGTCGTACTTCGCGTACCTTTTTCTCCTGCCTGATCTTGACCGCCCGTGGCCTTGGACCGCGTGTCACAAGCTCCAAGTGGTTGTGGAGCGTGCGTGGTCGAACATATATGAGACCGCTGTCCCTTCCATCCCAACTTCCGCCAATAGTGGGTTTGGTTTCGCGCGCATCTAGCGGGCACCCCTCCACCTGCGGTGGAGGACCTTTTGCGGGCACCGCTTGCGAATAAATCGGCGCCCGACGTACTCCGGCAGGGAGTCCGGTGGGACACGAGAGCCGCGTGGTGAATGAGAAGGTGTTCGTATCGAAAAATGGACATGCCGCCGACGCGGCCGGCATCGTCGCCGTCACGGGGCATGTTTTCGTGTAATTTATGCCGCGCCAACGGAATCGCGATACTTTCGTTCTCGCGGTACTTCTCGCTCACCTCCTCCTCGTTTTCCACTTTCCTGCTTTTCCGGCTCGCATCGTTTAATTCGCGTCCCAGTTTCTTTTTTTCGGGGCTTTCGGCGCGATGACGAGCGATGCACCGGAGATAAAAGCGAGAATGTAATCTGCACTCTCTCTTATCGCGGAAATCATCAACGTCCCCGATCGCAAACTTGCTTTTGAATGTTTCCGGGACATCTTGCATGTATCTTGCACGTGACCTGATAATATATACTTAGGTTACTTTCTAAATTAGTTCAATTATTTTATTTACTATGAATCTATAAATCATGTGTGCTTCAATCTGCGAATAATCGATATTGTAAACTGAAGGATTTTTCTATTCCCGTGTGAATAAAGATTTATCGTTATGATTATTTGTATGTTCTTTCTTCTTACATCGAGAATAAATTACGGGTCGCTGTGTTCGAAGCAACGCCCGAGAATGATCGAACGTTAGCGGATGTCCTCGAATCGCAATCTTGTTTTTGAATATTCATGAGACATTTTTACGGTTTTTTTTTTATATCGAGTAAAGCACGCAGTGACGATAATTTTAGAACAACGCGCGTAGTACGACAACGGAGATCGACCGCAAAAATTCCTCCGGAACGACAACGGCACGATGCAAATACAACCCAATTTCAGCCGTCGTCTTTATCGCCGTTTTAAGAACGCAGAGGGATCAAATCGCAGTGAAATCGTTACTTTCGAAAGACGAACGAGCGGACTGCATGTGTTCAGCACACTTCTCGGCGGTGTGGGTTTTCCTCGACTTTGCGTCGTTCGATCGATCGCCCTTGATTGTCCGCGCGGAATGAATCGCTCCTTTCATCTTTTCATTTCGTACTTCGCTTCGCTCACCGAACCTTTCTCCGGAAAGATCGTCACAGCCGACAGCTTTATTCCATTACCAAAAGGACTGCGTTCCGCTACTTAGGGTTACAGAGAGTTTCAGTGTCACGCGCGCACGTTCGCTCGTCCAGTCTCTACGTTTCTCAATGGGTCATTTCGTGTCATTAATTAACGTGCATGTAAACACGAGCCGGCGGCGCGGACCGGCCGGGTTTCGCGAATCGCGCGTTTAATTCCGCGCCGGGAATTTTCGTCTCACCTTTCACCACAGGAGGATTATATTCGCCCTTTACGTATTTTACATTCTCGCGTCCCGCTGGATCGTCAATTACGACGTGTAATATAGGCATTGCGGCGATTGCGAATTACGATAAGGCGCGCGCATAGCGGGGCTCGTCTGAGACCTGTCATAATGAAACGAAATACGACACGTCCGCGCGAAATTAAATGTCCCTCTCGCGGAGACATTTAATGCGTTCCTTCTCGCGAGAATTTCTTCTGTTTACCCTTCTGTTTACGAACAAATTATTCAGCATTTGTCGACATAATGTAATCCCCTCTTCCTCCTTCCTCCGGGAAAAGGACAGTCGCCAGTGGTCGGCCAGTAGGGATAAACTTTGTGGGACGAAAATGTCACGACGCGAGTTTTACTCCATCGTAAACCGTTATCTTATATTATTTACACGCGCCCGTAAATTCGCAGTTCGTTATCTTCGAAGATGAAGTTCTTCATCCCGCGTCATCCCAGTAATAAGCTCGGAAACATCTGGCCGATGTGTGGGCATTGGATATTTGCCATCCTTTGCAGTGTAAGTAATAATTATTATTTAATCTTCTAGGGTAATAATAGTTTTATCGCGATATTTGTGTGAGGCGCTACGTCGTCCTTTTCGTTCCTATATTTCCGCGTTCCTCATAGTAAGAAACATTTGGTACTTGTGTTAAAATCGGCCCTTTAAGTTAAAAATTTTATATTAATTTTTTAACATACCTGTGTATTAATTTAATATATTATGTTAAAAATAAAGTATAAAATAACACATTTTATATTTCAGTATCGATTGTCATATTATGGATGTTATAACTTTTTGTTAATTTTTGACATAACATTTTTACTTTTCAATATATTCACCTTGTGTTAAATTAACACAGAAATTCGTGTGGGTCGTTTTGGACGTTCTCGCGGTGTAAAATGTGTCCAGTTTAATACGAAATATTTCATTGTGTCCTCAGAGAAAGTTTCAGAAAATGTGTGAGCTTAATAGTATCCAAGTGGTATCATTGAGACCGAATTTACCGGTTTGACTACATCTTCGTACTTTTGAACTGCTTTCGAGAGCGGAATTCCTGTTAGAAAACACGGCACCGCATTTTGCAGTTCTTACTGAGAGCCTTAGAAATCTAAATGAATCGTGAGCGATCGGGTTGAACTGAAGGAATTATTCTTCGCCGTATCTTTATTCATTTATTCCAAATTTCTACGCGTGAACTTAATCAAAATCGTACATTTGCATGCACGAGTCGAATCGTAAGACCATTAAGAAGCTTGCCCGGCAAATGAAATAAGCGAGCGTTACTAATCGAGCGCTAATAATTATTAATCCTTTTATCACCGGAGCGATTTCGATTTTAACAAATCATCGATCCCCTCGCGGTAAATCACTCGTCGCCAGACGGCTCGTCGCAAAATCGGAGTCTCGCGACTCCTCCGAGGACGTTATCTAAATCGACACTCTGTTAGCGTATAAATCCCGTTAGAGAATCAAAAAAAAAAAAGAAGAACAGAAGAGAAAGAAGGAAATCGCGCGTGAAATTGCGATAGAAACCGGGAATGACAATATTTACGACCAATACCAGCGGAACAAGTATCCTTTGAGAGCGTGATCCTCGTTGGCCGCGCCGCTCGCACGCGGCACGAACGTGATGTTGGGCTGATGTCCGAATTCGTTTGACAGATACGTAACCCGCGTCTCGATGCCGTCCTCGCTCTGCGCCTGATAACTGCCGTCCTTCCGGCCGCTGCGATAACCGTCCTCGTGGTGTCCGTGCGTGGTTATCGTGTAATTGAACCGATAGTACAGGTCGTTCGCCATCTTCTCCAGCACCTGATCGTTCACCCTGTTCGGGCCGGGCTCCTGCGGCAGCAGCTTCTTCGCCACCCGCATCATGTTCTTCACGACGTCTTCCTTGGGCCGCGTCATCGATATGACGTTCTCCTTGCGCAACTTGTTCGCCAGGCTCTTGGACGTGTCCACTGTGGAACCGGGAAAATATCGGTTTTCTGCCCCTTGGCTTATTTATTTTTACTTTTATTATTTCGTCAGAACTGTGCTAGTTATACGTCTCGCCCAGACTTCCAATTAATTTTTTTCATGTGTCGCAAAGTATACTTAGAAACAAACCAATTAGTCTTCTCACACAAAAACATAATCTGTTTTTCTTTGTCTTTGTGTGCTAATATATTTCCCTCTATAAAGTGTATTCCTTGTGCGAAGGGAATTTTACCCCGAAATAAAATAATAACATATTGAGATTTAAATTTTTACAATTTTTGTAATACTTGTATATAGTTGTAATAATTATATATAGTGGTCGATATCAAAATTTAAAACTGAAATCATTTTTTTTACCAAAATTATTGAAGGAATTATTTCAGGTTGGTTGCTTGATCAACGATTTGTTTTGCAAGGGAGAGATCTCGGTTCGATAAGCAGTGTGTGTCAATTTTGTCGAAAACGAAATTTTGGACATTGTCTTACCGTGTTTCTCAGGTTTCTTTGTGAGATCTTCATCTTTCGCGATTTTACAGCCGCTGCAGGCCTTCGAGATCGCCTCCACCAATTTCTTTGCCGCTTCCGGTCTGTCTTTGAATATCTCTTGGGCGTCCTTCACTAGTTGAGCGAATAGAAGACGTTTTAAGGATGCATTCAAGGCGATCGAGATATGTAAATTCGTTAATCACGGTTCTAAATAATAGACGCAAACTTACAGCTGGTTATTTTCCGGTTTCTCATTCGGGTGATAATAAAGTCACCATTTTTGTCCGTGGCGTACCCAGTTTCATGATAAACACCATCCGCCGTAATAAAGCCGTATTCCCCGTTGATAAGTCCGTCGGCATCTCGATTGGGGAACGAAGAGAAATATCGATGGACGTGAATCGGGGTGCGAAAAAATGTACCGAAATTTGAAAAGCTGGACAATTCCAGAAAAGTCACAATCCCGAAATCCGGAGTATCCGTAGATGATCTCTCGAATAATGTAATTTTCCCAAAATATTGGAAGCATGTAAAAAGAAAAGCCTCATAATAATAACAAAAAAATATATAAGAGAAGCAGAAATAAAAAAGTACGCAAGATAATCACGCATGGTTGTGCACGGTAAATTATAAAAAACAATTGAAAATGTACGCAAAAATATAATTAAAAATAACAATATTAATAAGAATTTTTCGGAACATCGTCCCATCGCACTGATTTCGGTATCGTAACTTTTCTGAACTGATTTCGGGATTACGACTTTTGCGGAAAGGTTCCCCTCTTCCAGTTTCGAATTTCCCCTAGGAGTTTCGTCGCGCGATACTTTTCCGAACGAAATACCTTTCTTCTCGAATCTGTGCTGGAAATCGATGATGTTGAAGGAGAACTCGTACGGTCGTTCGGCGCTCCGGTCCGCGTGAGCCTGATGCCGCGCGACCAGACGGCACAGCAGCAGGCACAGAAGTGCCCACCATCCCTTCTGCAACGAAAATCGCGTCTCGCTTAGCTACGCACGAAAGTGAAAACGGAGGAAAAACTCCCTTCCACGGCGTTGCACCCTCACCGTGGAGGACGACATCCCGCGGAGATCTCTGTGGCTTCGAGTGGCTCGCGCGACCGAATGATGATGATGATGGGCACCAGAGGAGCGGGATCCTGCGAGCACATGCAGCGCTGACGTAACAAACGAGAAAAACATTCCCATCGTCGCGGAGGATTATCCACGAAACGATCCACGACGATGACGTGCAACGTAGGAGAAATACGCGAGGAGACGAGAGGACGGCGGCGGCGATTAGTCGTCGGGGGAGAAAAATCGGCGCAAGCCTCCGACCGTTCCTCCAACGTGCTTTCACACGTTTCGCGCGTCCCCGCGATCGGGAGATAATTGCACGAGGTTCATTTAACGCTCGTAAATCGTTGCCGATCGAACACACAGCGCTGTGTGTTCCCCGTTGCGGATTGCGTTCCGCGTCGTAAAACTTTATACACCCGTCTGTGTGCGCGTGCGGATCTCTATCTGGTGCTACGTCGGACCGTCGATGACGCTCTTCTTGTCCCGCGGAGTCACGAGCGCGCCTGCGACACGGATATTCGATAAAAATCGTTAAGGTTTTATCTGGATTTTCCGTGCAAATCAATCTCGAAGGATGAAGACTTGCGCCTTGTGTTCTGCCGCGCGCACCACGAGTTCCTGCCGGTTCGAGCAACGCTATCGCCGTTATTTTGAAAGCGGCCGTCGCGATGACGCGGTTAACATTTTAATTACAAGCCGGACTCGAAACCGCAAGCTCTACATATCGTGTGAATTAATTCGTTATTTCAATAAATCAGTTGCAAATTAATTTACGCCGGGCGCAATTTGCATCGAATTAATTAAGATTATTAACGACATACGCGCACGAAAAGAAAGGGATTAATTGTCCATACAACTGAAATTTAATTACTAGACCTAGTTTTTGGCCGTTGGTACTAGAAAGACACACGCGCAAAAAGAATGAGCTAAATTAATTAAGTTTATAAGGATAGCTAATTTTTATCTTGGGAGCTAGTTTCTAGTTGCGGGAACTCTCTAAAGTACAGTCAGTATAATGTCACTGAGAAGCAGCCAAGAGTTAGTGATCATAGTTATAAGTACAGCGCTGCAATTATTAAAATTTCTCTGCTAATGTCTATTGATAGCAGCAACTGTTTCCATCGGAGAGATCTAACGGCAGAAACAGTGAAAAGAGATGTCATTTATTATTTCTTTTTTAATCGCACTCTTAAGATATTGTCAATGATTTTGCCTGAAATATTCTTAATTAAATGTTTAATTGATTTAATTTATATCATATTTCAAAAACGCGTTTATTCCGATGAGACTCGAACTCGAAACTTCTAGTTCTTCAGTCCGCTGCCAAATATAGTTGACAGTCAACATATAGTTGAATGCAGTTACGATATGTACATATATTTCTGCTACGGACGACAGCGATTCGCAGTGAATCATTCCCTGATCGAAATCAGTGAAATATCAAACAAAAGAGCTAAGTGCAAGAGTTTCCGTTGAAAGTCGGTAAATAATCATTGATTATCGATAGAATATTGTTTCACTCGATTAGATTCACGTGACATTTTCACTGATTTCACTCGGGAGACTAACTCTTAGCTGTAGGAGCTACTTCTTTTTCCCCGTGCGTTAAGGAACGAAGGCAGTCTTTTTCTCCCGGCTTATTGTCGCGGAGCGATAAAGGCGATGAGGGAAGAGGTTCATGGCGATTACAGTAAGTACGTAAATCCGTATTTATTAGATGACCTTTCATTTTATCTTCTCACGGTGCTGTCGGATCGATAGCCGTTCCTCGAGCGTGCCTGTCGGACCGGCGATGCGGGATTGTAATAAATTAATGCACGTTCAAGCGCATAGGTCAGCCAATCGGACACCACTTGTTGGGTAATGTCAGCGGAACGGTGTAATTTTCAACGTCGCGTCTATTGTGCGACGAGAGCGAGCGCACGACGCGCACGCGAGGATGAAAAAGTCGCCGGCGATTAATCGTGCTTTTCGTTGCGATGAATTTTTTTTTTTTCGTTCTTTCGACGGCGTCGCGCGGGAGCGACCGATCGATCGATCGAAGGAGCACACGCGCGAGAGAGAGTTATCGGAGATTTTCAACGAGTATTTTTCTCCACGGCTCTGGGGACTCCTGCGTGAGTATGTAGAACGAGTATCGCGGAATGAGGGTCAGGGCCATATTCGCAGGTTGATGCGCGCCGGCGACGACGCATCGATTCCAAATCTGTATGTGTCAGGAACCTCGTCCGGGCGTGTACGGCGAATCCGCACAGGTGATTCCGAGGGAAGATTAGAAATCAGTAATCGAAGGTGGCACCGTTTAGAGGACCCGTCGTTTGTAATATCGGTTAAGATTCTGGAAACGAGCGCGTCGACGTCATCGTCTTTTATTAATTAGAATCTCAACAGGAGTTAGAAAGCAAGTGTCGCGATCGAAGACGCGAATTCGGAAAGGTTCTGATCCGCCGGAGACCCGAGCCAAAATTTTAGCCCTATGTTAAACCTTTAATTCTACAACGTAGTAGGAGCTAAGAAAGCAGAATAGATTCAATTTCAATTCTAATAATGTAATATAACCTCTACTTTGATCCTGATAATATCTTAAACCTCCGTTTGCGCTGTTCTAGCATCAAAGTAAGCTGTTGAAGATAGGATTAAAATTTAATTTGTGGAATTAAAAATTTCAGATCAGTATCGTCAAAGTAGGTTTTTATTAATCTAAAGGTCGTCTAAATAGGCATAAACTATTCTTAAGCATCAGAGTAACACCGAAATTTCGATCTGGGGAACCCGGAGATCTGCGGTTGAAAGAAAACCTGAAAAGAAAAAAAACATCTGCAGTTGAAAATTGTCGCAGCCGAAAATATCGAGGTTTCCTTAATCGGCGAATTCGCGCTCTATTCTGTTTCGCTTCAATGCGACTCGGCGGAAGGAAGAGAGGTATGCAAGACAATAAGCAGTCGTCTAATCATATTCGCGAGATGCTCGACTTTCTGCAACGATCTGGAACGAGCCGGAGAAGTTCGATCGCGGAATATCGAATCGACAGGTATCGGAACCTGAATTCCCTCACGTCGTAGCGCGATGTTGTTTACGCGATCCGTGCGTTTCGCGATAAGCGACGGGATTAAGGCTCTCATTTGCCGCGTATGCGCGGTACATCGTGCATTTTGTAGAGCAGCGGTAGTATGCCGATACGTATGGCGAGGCGTCGATTTAGGAGCGAGACGATATTCACGGCATATTAAACGGGAGACACGGCAATGCGCACGCACGTGTGCGGGCGGAAGACAGCTTTCTGGCGCGTATACGCATCGCGAATATCGAAGTCCCGGAGATTCGATTCGCCTCGCGCCGAAGACTTTCGATACGCGCTTCGATTGCGCGCGCGTCCTCCTTGGCGCGTCCCACGACTCGATATTCGCGTTTACCGCGCCGACAACGAACGTGTTTCGCCGCCCCGCCGGCATTTTACGACGAGGGGAGCGGCGTCGGAATTCTAATTTCGATTTCGACGTCGAATTTACCGAGAGAGAAATGGGAAAAACCAGTTAGGCCCGGTGCGGCGGCTCATCCGCGGGAATCTGGACCGAAATGCCGTTATGTGGAGGCCCGAAGTGGGTCACTCGACATCTTGATATCGTACCTACCGTGCGGCGCCTCGCTTAATATGAAGTAAAACGCGGACAGGCGAAACACGACCGAGCGGCAGGAAATTCGCGCGTTCGCTCTTTCTCGAACGCCGCCGGTCGAGCGCGCTCCCGAATGCGATTGAATGTGTACCAACATGGGAGCGCACGCAGCCACACACACACACACACACATATATATATACACGCATATGAAACAAGTAAATCATATTTAATAATTTATGTGTAAACGTATATATGTATATATGTACATAAACAATTGGACAATTTAATTTTGCATCTCATCACGACGTTTTCTATATCACAGATGTTCTTCGTACGTTCGAGTGTGTCTCTTTGGAAAGTCGAAGCTGTCAACTGGCCAGTCCCTCTCACATCCTCCGACGGTATCGAAGTCGCCGTTTCCTTTTTCGCGTTGCGTTTCCTCTTCCGCCGCCGCGTTTCATCTACCGAACCACTCGTCCTCGTCGTCGGGATGATAATTGTGATGATAATGTGCGTGATGCGGCTGATGGACCACCACCACGTCCGTGTTCTCTGTGCTCTTGATCAAATTGTAGATCATTATAGCGATTGCTAATTGCGCGACCATGATGCTCTTCAGGAGTGACGTCTTGATGGACGCTATGGCGCCCGGTAGAGAGAGTACCTGCGGGAAGGAAAGAGAGAAAAAACATTTGAACCCCGCTTTTCCCGATAGTGAAGGTGCGCGTCGGACGATCGTCAAAATGGCGAACCTGCATGACGAACGGCATCATCATCATCATGTATCCGAGTCTTTGCAGAATGCTCTTCCTCTCCTCTTTCCTGCGGCCCTGCACTTCCGTTTCTGAGAAACCGAGAAGAAGAAAAAAAAGGAGAGGGAAGGATGCTTAATTTTTCCTTTTCGGAGGCGCCAAAGTAAGCGAAATACCTTGCAGTAGGTCGCGCATTTTCACGCGAATGACGACTTTACCGTTCACCGCGAAGAACTTGATCCCCGGGAACACATTTAAGCCCTGAGTCTCGTCCTGGGGAATCAGTGAACTGTTCTGCCTCTCCTCGGCTCGAGCCAACAATTTCGACGACGTTGCCAGCCAGACAATAATATTGCAAACGAATAACCTCGTTCCAGCCATGTCCTTCGTTACTACAATCGGCTGGAAGCACACGTAACTTTCACGGTGTCGTTGCACACTTTCTTTACGTTCCACTGACTTTATTGACTTGTAACGTCACTGTGACAACAACATCTCTTTGCGTTTCTTTCTGCGATTCTTTTGCGGTTACTTAAACGAACATTTCACCAGCCGAACGAAGAAATTTCGAGGATTCTCACCCGCGCGGTTTTTCCTCCGATTCGCTCGATGCAACGCGTTGTACTCGCGTTAGTCTGGAGAGCGGACTGCACCGCGCTACGCGTGCTACGCGAAGCGCAGCGGAGATATTTTACCTTTTTCGTTCTTCGGGTACCCCACTAGACCGAGAAACTAGGTCTCGTTTATACTAGAAGAACGCTATTTATGCCGAGGCAAGCGTAACGTGGACGCACTGAGTACTGACGCGTTACTCGTTGGTAACGAGCCGATCTTAACGGATAACTATTGGTTTAAACTATTCAATCGAGACCACGCAAGGATTGCACCTCGAATCAAACTTGATGGATTCGCGGTTTCGAAAGGAAGAAACTATGGAATTTCTTTGTCGGCTCTCTGAAAACATTTTGCACGTGCGTGCAAAAATTAACCCATTAGCTGCCACGATCCCCATTTGGGGCTGAAAACAAAACATAATTTGATTATAATTATACTGTTACACAACTTTTTGTGCATATATATAACTTATCCGGGCAAAAATTTCAAAAAAAAAAATTTGGCAGTTAATGGGTTAATAATCACATGCCTCACGGTAAACGTGTGACGTTTCTTTATAAACATATTACAATAATTTCGAGAAAATACATATCTTTACAATGCCTCGATGCAATAAATATATTCTTACTAATTAGATGAGGTATGCGATAGTTTCTAAATGTAAGTGTTTTTCATTTTGGTACGGAGGTTTGGTCCTGTACTGGTACACATTTTTTCACAGTTATGAAAAATGAGATTAACATTTTCGACGGGATCGCCGCCCGACGAAGACGGTATTTGTTTTTACTTCCTTCGGATAGTAAAATATCTGTCGCGTTGTACGCGAACGGTCTACTTCGATTACGTATTTTGAAGGCTCGTCGTGTGTGTGGCACGTCTAGTATAACAAATAAATTCACATAATAAATAAACTCGTAAATAAAGACATATTAAGCTACAAAATTAGTTATCGACACGAATAATTACAAGCTTATAGCGTAGTAGAATCGCCACTGATGCCTCCTTTGAGGAAGGAGAGCCCTCGTTTGTTCTCTGTCGCGATCTAATGTTTGCAATTACAAGTGATCGTGAAATATAAACGGTGAGGAAATTCGTTGAGGACGTGAAGACTTGCCAGACGGCCCGACGACGTGGACTAAAGCGGATCAGCTGTCGTGACGATGAGAAATATCGTAATGCGTGAACGCAAAGTGGAGATTCGTTTAATTATCATTAAGCAACGACGCGCGGTTTAATTACGCGAGACGAGACCACATAGACATGTCTCGGTATCGCGTGCATTACGGAGTTTACCGTCAAACGTCGTAAACTTCCGCGCTCTAATTATAAATTACACAAATTCCTTTGGTATACCCGTAGAAGTAGAGCCTGGTAACCTAAGAGCGAGAGGGACACGCGTGGAAATCGTCATTGTTACATCCGCAAAGCCTCGCTTTTCGTACGAACGGATGTTTTTCCGTGTTCACGCTTCGCGCGAGCGAACATCCGCGGGGAACATCTCGTTTCCGAAATTAACGCTGATGCGTATGGCTATAATCAACAAATTACAAGTGCGGGGTTCGCCGCGTCGAAACGGAAGACGTCGATAATGCCTTCGCTATTCTAAAATTGCCTAAACTGGAGTCAGAAGGCATTGTCGACGGTTCTTTCGCCCTCATCCGAATAAATCGAACGGCGGAAGGATTTTCTAGAAAATCGCACAGATGGTGCGGTTTCTACCAGCTCTTTTCCAGCCCTTTTTGCGCCACGCTCTCTTTCGTTTATCCGATAAAACCGCGATCGGATGCGCGTGATTTATCCCTTATAGTAATAGTGTTGGTCTTCCATTCCAGGTCCGCTTGCCTCCCAGCCGTGTGCGTGAGCGTAAGGAAAGCTATTGTGAACGTGCACGTGAATCGGTTGCTGCGGCGACCATGTTGGCGCCGCTCCGTGATGATGCCAGGAATAAAATTTCCCCAGAAACGCGCTGAGCTTCAGCACTAACAGTATGATACCTTTAAATAGGAAAACATGACGTGTAATTGCTGTTGAGCGTGTTATTGAAACGAGTGATCGTTGCGCTTCATTGGGCGGGTATCCCTCAAGCCGAGATACGTTCGAAAATAAAATAATAAAGTGAATAAACATTATAGAAATCACGAGAGAATAAATGATAAAAATAACAGTTGCGAAAATAAAATAAAATAAAGAAGAAAATAATTAAAATGAAAAATCCTTATATTATCATCACTTAATTTTTCGAAGAACACTTTATAATTTATTACTTCTATAATATTTTATGTTATTAATATCAATAGTGTAACGTTATTTTATTAATAATAAAAACGTTATTTCATTAGTAATAAAGAGCATTAATATTATTAATGTGCGACAGTGAGTAATGAAGCTTGATAATTCATCGATAATTGTAAGAAGCGGGGAATGATCAGGAGCGCAAACAAAATTTCGGGATCTAATGCTCGTGTGAATGTATCACACTATAAAGTGTGATATACGAGGAAATGGGTCGGCGATCTCTCCTAATCATGCATGCATACTGCGCTATCCACGAGACAGGTCGAATACCGTTACACATTCGTGCTGGTGACACTTTTCACTTGCGCACGAAAGTAACGTGGCTCACCGACGAGAAGTCCCTTCACTGAGACCACCGTCAGCACCATCAACATTGTCATCATTACTCCCATTTTGTATATCATCGGCATCAGCATGAACTGGATTCTTTTTATTCCAAATGTGCGGGATTCCACGAGGCCTCGATCTACTGATACAAATATTAATTGCAGATGAATGTGATCACGATACCGGCAGATGTATTTTATTCATAAAGCACGTATTGTATAATTTCGTGATTTCCTTTAATTAATCTCAATAACAAAATACTTATAACGAAGATTAACTTGTAAATCCCGCATCACCGTGAATTGCTACTCCTCGTGTACACAACGTTCTGCCGACCAACGGTGTACGTAAGTAAAGTCGCATACCACTTTTCTCATCCTCCGTTTTGGACTCGTCATCCGGGACACTCCGACGATCGTCGACGTCAGGATTCGTCCGCGAGATCAGCCGGAGCCTCGTGACGTTGGCTCGCGCTTGGATCTCGTTGCCGCATCCTTTTGAAAATCCGATATTCCCGGCACTCTGTGCAAGCACATTTTTCGCAAAGACAGCTGCCAATAGCACGCACGCGAGGTTCCGGCCAATCGTCTTCATCCTCGGACCGGTTTACCACCACCCGAACGTCCTCATCGACACTGACGATCCTTTTTCTCGCGGCCGGCCTTTTACCCTCGGCCTCCTCTTGAACTGCCGAACCGGACTACACGAAACATACGTGCTGTGTGAGCCCGCACGAGCAGCCGTATGACTCGCTACAACGAACACCGAGCGGTTCGAACTCGAAAGGGAATCGGCCGGTCGCTGCGCGCCGACCTCCTGCGCAGCTCTTTCGGATTACTCCTAGGTGCCGATTTTACGGACACTTTGGAGGAACTCGGAGAACGTCGATGAGCGTCGTGACACCGCACCTTCCTTCCTAACATTTCACGTTCCTTCCTTTCCTATTGCTTTTTAATATCACCAACACTCGCTCGCATTGAACGATCTACGATTATTCAGTGGTGTTAAAATTATCGCCCTCTGTTACTCGGATTTTTTTAATCGAACAGATTTTTCACGAATAATCGAACGATTTTGAGCGATTGTTTTTTAATATGACTGGCAGCCTCTTAATAAGAGAACTGAGAGCTTGTTTTCGAGTAGATCCGAATGGTATTAAGCCCGGATAAAATAGAACGACAGGAATGACAGATACGTGTCGCGTTTCGCTTTTTACGTCACTGTCACGGTCATCGTGCAACGACCGTTCACGCACGATCATCACCTTGGGAAGGAGTGGCTGTGCGCCAAGAGTACGCTCAATAGGAACGCGCGCACCATTCGCGATTTCCCGAACGAGAGGCCTCGCCTCGATTTTTACGAGAGATATTTTACAATTTCATTAGCTTCCTTTGGAAGTACTTCTACTTGCCGCAGACGTAACCGCGCAAATTTTTATACATATAACGAGTTCGCTTATGTGCGCGAGACGGCCGCAAGTAGCCGTGAAAATAATATAATCATCGTTAACGAATAGATGACTCATTGTCATAACTCCGGCAACTTAGCAACTGCTTACTGACCTCCTAGCGGAATACCGCGGGGAACATTATGATGCGCCGTAAAATTCATTAACGGTCCTACGGTAAGTAGCTCGAAGAGTAGTCATGGTCGATGATCAATTGTGGCTTACCTCGATACGTTTATTAGGAGGTCGTCGACGGACGAGCGTCACTCGGCAAGTATGATTTACGGGAATTGTTTTACGAACTGCAATTTACGTTATTTCAAACGCCCCGACGAACGCAGAAGAAAAGCGGCAAGAGAGAAGCTTTCGCAAAAACGAAGCCGCGATGCTCCCTCGTCTCCCCGGGTGTGTACGTGCGCGTGTCAAAGCACCGGAAAAAATATGGACTTCGGGACTGCCGAGGGAGGCGAGAAGAGTACGAGGGTCCAATTGCGAAATCGTCTCGACGAGAATAGATGCCGAGGTCGAGAGGATCGAGACGATCGTTACCGAGGCGGTAAAATCATTCGAACGTTGTGAACGCACCGTAAGCGAGCGCGGACGGTAAGGCAAGAAAGGCGATACAGGTTTATCGCATCGTCTTCGCGCAGTGAATCTAGTACGGAAGAAACGTAGAGGGAAAGAAGAAGGTAGGGAGAACATCGCGCGCCGACCATCTTGGAAAATAAAGTCCGCAGTAAAAATGCACCCCGCTCTCCGCGCTGTCCCGGGCGCAGCCGCCGCCTCCACGGGATGCCCCCTTCTTCCTGGCGTTTCGTTCCTTCGAGTCTCGATTCCTTCAAGGACTAAAAATTCAACCCTTTACGCCGCTCTCGAGCGGCAGCGCCGGCGAGGCTATATTAAACGCGAACCTAAGACCCGGTCTGATCTTCGATTCAAGCGGCGTCCTCCTTCGTTCAGAAGGTGCCGTTTGTTTCGCATTTTTCACTTGTTCGTGTCTGCCCGCTTAAGAGCCCGCATTCTATCGTCGTAGATTCTGAATTGCCTCACCTTTCTTTCGCCTTTTTCGGCCGATTTGCTCACCTCGAGGAAGAATGCGAGTTTCGTTTTCGGATGAGAGACTTTGCAAAAGTGAAAATAAATCGAGGCGGAACGCGAGTTTCTTTTTCGAAAAGGAAGCACATCCGACACTCTATTGACTCTAATAATAATAATAATAATACTATTATCAGAAGTGTGTTTCTAGTTTCTATGATGCACACCGACACACTTAGCTCTTCCGGATTTTCTCTATTAACAGCGTATGGTCGATTTGCAAATCGCTGCCACGTTTCTCTTCGATCGCCGCGACGTGCGCAAGGGACGAGGACGGGAGGGGGAGGGAGAACGGTTAGCGGGTCCTCGGAAGAAATATACCCGTTTGTGTTTTGAATCCTGAGATCCAGACGGCGAATCCTGCATTTCCCGGTACGCTCGACGGTGCGTGTGCGCAAGGCGATCGTCCGCGCCGCAAAAATGCGCATGCCGGGCAGTTAACTATGTATGCGGCGTTCCTGGTTCTCTCCCTCTCGCGGGTATCTCTCGTTCGCTCTGTGAGCGCGTTCATGTACGTAAATCATACTTGCCGAGAGACGCTCGTCCGAGGTAAATAAACTTTCCTCGAAACGTCGAAGAAAAAGAAGAAGAAGAAAAGGATGAGAGAGAAGAGGATGAAGCAGGACTAATAATAAACGCGAATGCGATAAACGCCGTCGAGCGATTACACCTGCGCCAACAACGTTACGGGAATTGCGTGCGTCCAGATAAATCCGAGCGACCGATGCGCTCGATTTCCATTTCCGCGCGCGCGAGAGAGGAGGACGCACAACCGGTCAAGCGATCAGGTTGCGCGAGGCTCGTTCCCTCGCAACCCCGAAGAAGAAGAAGAAGAAGCGGCGGCGTATAGAAGCGCGCAAAAATGGAAATGCCAGGCTGTTATTCATATACAGGTTCGCTTCTTCGTCCGTGAGCCGGCCTGTAGTCGTCCTCGCGCGATGCTTTGGTCGATGGTATGTGTATCACCATGCGTGTAGCATGGCTGACCATAGACCGGCTCAGAAGTGGCCGAGACATTCGCCTCTCGACCGCGACCATGAGAGCACTCAACTCTCGACGCCCACGGTCACCGAGCGTCCACCGGCTCGTACCGTCGCGACCGACTCTCTGTTTCCTCCTTGTGCTCTGCGTCCTCCAGGACACACGAGCGCGGAGTGTGCCGCACGATGACGACGGCGGGATTTCGGCAACGGTGGAGGCAACGAGTGACTCCGGCTTCGAGGTAGCAGCAGGCGGTGCGGACGAAGAAGCGCGGGGAAGAAGCTTGACGGAGGACGCCTACGTCGGGCAGGATGGGAACGCGAAGGACGACGGTAGTGTTGTTATCGAAGACGGGAGAAATTTGGAAGAGCGGCTCGTCGCCGAGCAATCCGAGAAGATCCGAATCGAAGCCGCCGCCGACGAAGGCAGCGTGGCGAAGAAGAGGCGAAGGAACGACGTGAGCCTCGCAGTTGGTAAGTCCATGTTGCAGGACGGCGAGGGTAACCCGCAGAAGGACGAGGGTATTCGGCGATTCGACGCGCAGGTCGACGACAGCGAGGAACTCGGTCAACGGAGGATCTTGGACGACGGCGTCGCCGAGGACGGCATCCTGCATTTGCGGGAAGACGCCGTCGAGCATCCGAGAGGACTGATCGACGTGAAACTGTCGCCCGCGTACGTGAATCGCCCCGTCGACGAGGACGAGGAGAAGTACGGGGAGATCTCCGACGACCTCCGCAGGAGGCTCGACGACGCCGTGAATTCGGCGGAGAAGATAGAAGGGGAAACTGAAGGGGAAACGGGCCAGGTGAAGAATCCGGCGGAGGCCAACGAGGCGCAGATCGAGATGATCGACGGGGTGAGCGAGGAAGTGCGCAATGACCTCCGCAGCTTGGAGCTCGGCGACTCGGACGAGGGTGAGAGGAATCCAGAGGGACGCGTCGTCGACGAGGTCGCGACGACGGGGGAAACCGGGGCGCAAGATCAGGATCTGAACAGGGAGCACAGGCAGTTAGCCGAAACGCCAGGTAAGTCCAAGTACAGGAGCTCGACCGTGTACCTGAGCGCTGAGGAGGGCAGTTCACCAGGTCGCGACCAAGAGTCGATCGTGGACGGCCAGATAAAAAGGTTGATATCCATACGCGACGACGCTCTCGAGTCGGCAGGCGACGGCGTGAAACCCGTGGGAGACGAGGAGGAAGCTTTTCTCGCGGGGAAGTCGGTGGGGATCGACGTGACCGACGGCGGCGAGGAGGACGAGGAGATTCGCAATCAACGCAGCAGCGACACGTCCGCTCCGCCCGAGAATCTCGAGCAGCCTTCTTTAACGACGGAGACCGGTCCCGATCGTCTGCAAAGATGGAGGAATCAAGCGGCGATGCTGCAGGAACAGATCCGAAACCGGACGTTTCTTCAGTACCTGAGGGAACACGCGGTCGAGGTGCTTCCCGACATACCGAAATTCACGGAGGGCCAGCTGTTGGAGACCTTGAAGAATATCTGGCAGTCGCGAGTCAGACCGTCGTCCAACGAGACGTACTCGGCGTCCTTGAACGCGAGCGCGTTCAGCCACGATCAAGTCGAGATAATCAAGTGCGCTGAGCAACTGACGGAGGCGAAGCAACGTCAGACCTTCGTACAGAACATAACCGAATGCGTGCGAGGCCTCAGCGTGATAAATTGCCTGCGAGTCTTCGTCTGGCCCGTCGTGCTCGACAACATGCCGCAATCAATCAGCCAGACCCTGAGCAACTTACCGATCGAGATCAACCTGATGGACTTGTTTCAGAGGGCGAAAACAGCGCGATCGGAGAACAGCGTTCACCGTCCGAGGTTGCTCACGCCGGAGTCCGTCGTGTTCGCGATCCTGAAGAACGCCCTCGACTCGAATGATGAAAAACACACGCATGATCAAAGGCCGATTTACATCGACTCGAGAAACGAGACCCTGAGGAGGCTGCTCACCATCGGCCAGCTGCAGATCCTGCAAATGGCCGAGAAACTGCTGCCCGGTGAGGCGCGTCGCGAGTACTCCGACAGGATGTTTTCATGCGTGCGCAGGTTCGAGTACTTCAGCTGCGTCAAGTACTTCGCATGGCCGATGGTGAAGCAGTACCACCCGGACTTGCCAGACTTCCCGGATTACCAAGCCTGGTACCCCTCCATCGCGTATTACCCGCAGTATCCAATCGTACCCTTCCCCAGCTTCGTGGAGACGACGGGTGAGCTGCCGGAGGTCGTGGACGCCGACGCTACGAGAATGAGGAAGCCGAAGCCGGAGGCGGTGATCGTCAACATTCTCCAGAACACCCTGAGGGAGCACGCGAAGGTACCACCTCCGTCCGTCGCGCATAACGCCGATTCTTACATCGCCTTGCTGCCGCCGGAGCAATTGTTGTCGATCCACATGGCCGAGCAGCTTCTCCCCACTCCGTATCGGCCGGAGTTCGTTCAGAAGACCGTAAAGTGCATTCAGGAGTTCAGCTACATGACTTGCATCAGGTACTCCACTTGGCCGACGGTCAAACAGTTCAGCCCCGCTCTGCCGCCTTTGCCGGATCTCACCGGCTGGTTACCGGACTGGTCGATCCCGCAAGTTTTCGGCTCTTACCTGCCGGAACTGCCGAGCTTTGCCGATTTGACCTCCTTCATACCCGGCTTAGGTGGCGGGACTCCTGAGCAACCGCCACAATCTGGTGATTCCACCGGCCAGGCACAGTCTGGACGACTTCCCACGACACCGCTCCGTCAATATGAGATCTCCCCCGAGGCAATCGGCGAACTGGAGAGCAAGATCATCGAGATCCTTACGAGAGTGCGTAACTCCCTGAAAATTGTACCGGAGAGCTCGCCTTTGATCATCAGCAGCAACGTGATCGTCCTGACGACCATCACCGAGAAGCAAATCAACATACTGAAATTAGCGGAGAGTATTCTGCCGCCTCCAGTTCGGGCGCCGCTCGTCACTCAGGTTTTCTCTTGCCTTCAGGCGAGCAACGACTTCATCAACTGCACCAGGTACGTCATCTGGCCCACGGTGGCTCTTTACGTTCCAAATCTGCCGGAGTTCCCTAGCCCTCCGTCCAACCGACAGCCATCGAAACAGGACTGTCAACAGACACCGCTGAAAGACAAGGACAACTCGCATCAGATCAACGAGGAGCAGTGGGACAATTCGCAGAACGCGGCGAACCCCAACGTGAAGATTATTTCTAGGACGAAGTACCCGCAGAGCAACACCCCGGTAATCAGCGTGACCGGCACGCGATTCGTGCCGATATTCACGGAACACCCTGAGTCGGTGATACTCAACATCCTGCGCTCGATTCAGCTGACTTTGCCCAACGCTCCGAGCGATCCGACCGCCAGCAAGGTCACCAGCACGCAGCACGTCGCCGATCTGCTCAACGACCAGCAGGAGAAGATCCTCAGGGCAACGGAGGACCTGCTACCCGAACCCGCTCGTCCTTCCTTCTTCGAGCGAATGATCGAGTGCGTTCGCAAGGAGAGCTTCTTGGTGTGCTCGAGGGAAGTGTTGTGGCCCACCTTATCGGAGTACTTCCCCCGACTCCCCAGCTTCCCCAACTTCGGAGCGAATTCGCAAGCGACCGACAGCAAGCCCACATTACCGCCGAATCTGACCGACACGTCGCCGTTTTCCGAGACCGACGTCAAGGTCGGCCAACACGGAGACGCTACCGTCACGATCACGGACACGAGATTCTACCCCATCTTCACGGAACACCCGGAGAACGTGATCCTGAACATCCTGAGAGCCGTGCAACACGCCACACCGGGCCTGCTGAATTCCGTGATCAGACCGAGGTCGCCGGAGGTAATGGCTTATTTCACGGAACAGCAGGGCAACATCGTCCAGGTCGCCGAGAGTCTGCTACCGGAGTCGGTAAGGCCGGTTTTCGTCGACAGAATGGTCACTTGCGTACGCGAGAGCACGTTCCTCGAGTGCACCCGGGACATCGCTTGGCCAACGATCGCGCAATTCTTCCCACGACTGCCGAACTTCCCGAACTTCGGGGGCTCGCAGAGCATGCCGAGGACGAAACTCGGCCTGTCGTCCATCTTGCTGCGGAACGCTTACTCGGAGAGTCAACCGTCCGACGAGAAGGCTCAGGATGTCCCGAAGAGCGCCATGGAGAGCGTCGAGGATAAGATAGAGGCTGTGCTGAAAGAGCTGCTGAGCGAGGAGGGCGCGTCGACGCGTCTGGGCAACTCCTACCTGGACGCGGACAATCCAGTGATAGGCGACCTCTTGACCGCTCGGGAGATGAACATCGTGAAACTGACGGAGAAAGCGATACCGGATCCCTTACGTCGCACTTACATCACGAACATGCTGGAGTGCGTGAGGAGCAACAACTTCATGACCTGCACCCAGCACATCAGCTGGCCGACCCTGAAGCAAACCTCACCGGCTCTGCCGAGCTTCGACCAACTGTTCGGTCAATTCCCCGGCTTGGCTCAGTTTCCCGATCTCGCCGGCCAGATCCCCGCCTTCCCCGGCGTGGGGAACTACCCGTTCGCCGAGTTACCGTCTCAGATCACCGCAATACCAGGCGGGATTCAAGGCGCGATACCGGGCATTCCGAGTGGCGTTCCTCAGTTCCCAGGGCTCCCCGAGTTCCCTAGCCTCGGCGGCATTGGTTTCCCGTCTTACGTGAAACACATTCCGAGCGGCGCACCGGAGACGAAGCCGCAGCAGCAGACGAACCAACCGAGGCTCCCGCCGGACGCTGAACAGACGAACCAGATAAGTGGAGTTTCGGTGGCTGCGGACACTCCGTCAGTAGGTGAATCAATCTGATCTGCTAAGCGCGAAACGACTACTGCACTTCTCCTCGCACGACTCATGGACCCACCATCTCTTCTCGTTCCCTTTTTCTCTTTCAGACGAGCAAGGCACCGTCCCCGGATACCTCGGACAGCCGTCGAGCATCCTCATAGATATCTCCAAGGAGAAGGTCCACCTGTCCGACATCGAGCATCAACGAGATCCATCGCCGGAGTCCGTTCCCTCGGATCAATCGAAGAAACGCGAGAGAAGACGCAGAAGCACCGAGCGGCTGTCCAATTTCTACTACGAGACCGACGGAAAGACGGCCGAGAGGGCTTCCGAGACGACGGACAGCACGTTCCCGAACATCACGGAATCCGAGTTTCTTCAGCTTCTAATTAATATCTCGCGATCCAAGGCGACCTCCGAGGAGAAGCACGCGAAGACCAAGACTGAGTACTTCGTGGACACGTTGAATTCCACAATCAAGAATTCCCTGACTGCCGACCAGTACGAGATCCTGAAGGTCGTCGAGGATCTGAACGAGGATCACACCACCAACCGCGGCCTCTTGACGCGGGTGGTTCAATGCATACGCAGCTTCAGCTTCATCAGATGTATGGGCATCTTCATCTGGCCCGTCATCACCAGCACCGTGCCGTCCTTGCTCGGCTTGCCGTCCTTGCCCGCGATCCCCGGTCTTGGCCTCCTCGGCAGATCGACGGAGTCCGAAGTGCAAAACTTCTTCGGCATGTCGACGAGCGATTTCGAGAAGGAACTGTTGGAGAGGAAAGACTCGGTTGAGAACATCTTCCTGAATTGGTACAAGAGACTGATGGAGGACAAGTTTCAGGCGAACATCGGCTTCCTGAGGATCAAGGGCTACGGGAACGGTGAGGTGGGCATCAGCTTCAACAGCTTCCGCGAAGGTAGAGCCACGAAGATCAAGGACAACAAGAATCTGCCGAGTATTTTGACGATCATCAGCGACATTATGGAAGAAGTGCTCGATCAGCGACCGGACAACGAGAAGATCAAGAAGGACAAAGAGAAGCGAGAGCGCAGCCTCGACGACGTGCAAGAGGCGGACTTCCAGCTCCTCAGAGAGAGCGACGAGTACGCCGACATTAAGCGCTCCATGAACGACGATCAGATAATCACCATGTTCCTGGACAAAATCAAGGCAAATGCGAGCGATTTCGCCGACGGCGATGTCACTCAATACCTGAACATGGAGGACGCTTACAACGCCTTCGGCGTGCTCTTCGGCACCCGCTTGAACGAAAAATTCGCGAGTCGACTGAAGACCTTCACCGAGGAGCACCTGAGGAGGAGTTTGAACAGGAAGGATCCCGAGGACCACGCGAAAGGATCCAGCGGGGAGGAGCTGAAGGTGATACCCTTGAAAGAAAAGGAAATATCCTACGACCTCGAGAAGGAGTCCGCGGAGAGTCAAGAGCAGCGAAAGCGGGAGCATCGCGCGAAGAGCGAATTCAAGTCTTTCTTGAGCAAGTACTCGGACAAGTACGTGAGGAACATCGCCGCGGAGGAGAGCGACGATCCCGATCACGACAATAAGATCAAGGATACCGCCGAGTCGACCCCCGACAAGAACCCGCGCTCGGAATTGAGACTGCAGCTGCCGAGTCTGCGCGAGGACGTGATGTCTCGGAAGATCACGAGCACGGTGATACATTTCGGCCGAGCGATGAAGATGAAGATCGGCAACATGATGCCCGGAATCGGCTTCGTGATATCCTTCCTCATCCAGACCGCGTTGGCTCACGCGAGGGCGGCCGCGTCCATGGCCGGGATGATCAGCAACATGGCCCTCGCGTCAGCCATGTTCGGCATGCTCCGGCAGAGTCTGTTCGGCTCGGACAACCCGAAAGTCAAGTACGTCTACGACAACGACAAAACCGGCCCCGGTATCACCTGGCCGTATCACGGGCCCTATTATCACGGGAAATAGTATCGACTCTCCCCGATCAAGCTCACTTATCATACTGTATTAAAATCTCAGGCATGCTAAACGCCTCGTTAAGAGTATTATAAATATATATGCGCTAAGAGGAAATGGCATCTGAAAAATGGACAATATTTATTCGGCGGTATTAATATTTACTAATATTGGTATACAGATTTTTGACACTGGGACGAATTTCTTTTCAAATGAGAAAGTATAGATTTTCTTGAATCTGTAACCCTTCTTTCGTGAAAGCAACTGTTCGCTCTATTTGATTGAAAGAATTTCGGGATTTAGGTAAATATGTTATCACTACATCGAGTAAATATTTTCTATTTTTTAGATCTTTTCTCTCAATGTATACGTCGTGTATGGACTTCCCTTGAAGTCCGAAGCAGCATATCGAATTGTATTGGGTTAGTTTTAATTCTCTCTTCTTTACGCTCTCGCGTTAATTCTCGTCGTGGTCGCGTTCACAAAACGTCGTAGAGATAATTACGAAGTGTTTATGCGGCTCTTGTCCAATGTCTCGCGATCTCGAGACAATACGGTGCGCGCTGAAAGATGCGGAAAACAGATCGGAAAGAATGAAACAAATATCACCGGTCACGAGCGTCCTCGTTGTGTTTCTCACAAGGTGAAATTTTATTTAACGTTTCAGCTACGCGAGCTTGACGCATATAGAGTGAACTCTCTAAGTTTAGGATAGACAATTTATAGAGCCTGAAGGAACGGTGTTTTCGGTGAATGGTGGTTGTGGAAACGGTCCCTCGCATTTCGATCGCGCGATAAAACAAACACACGCCATTTCGTAGGAGATATTTATTTCATTGTTATGGGTTTTCTCTTCTTTCTTTTTCCTTTTTTTACGGTGGCGGGTGATATTTCGTAATTTCTTAGAGGTCATATAACAGCACGGCATTAAACGATCGTGCGCCGTACGATCGTATCGCAGAATAAATATCGAATAAATATCAGCATATAGATCTTAAGGCTGTCACGCTCTCTGACGATGTCTGATTAATGTCTGATTGAAAATAAATGGTGTGTACTCATGTTGCATGTATCCGCTACTGTCCCACCGTAATACAACTATCAATCGATACATCTCATCGTTGATGGTTTTTCTTCTTTTCTCTCACTCAACGCATCAATGATATTATTAGCAATCGTATAGCTCGCGGAAAACGCGATTGTAAAATCAATCGATAACAATTAGACGAACTCTCAAGAAGCAAGTAAATTCTTTTGTCTTAATTAATGAAAGAAAGACACAGGTAACACATCACATCGGGTAAAAGAATCGCGGAGTTCTGCGTCGATTTCATTGAAACCGGTAAACGATAAGACATTGCATTCCCAAATGCCTTTAATATTCCATATCGAAAATACCGGCGCAACAACTTTCAAGGACCTTGAGCGGCCAGGTTCGAGAACGGTCGAGAATAGATCCAAGATTATTCCGGACTACCGGCGTCGAAGGTCTCCTTCGTACATCTCCTCTTTCCTTTATTTTTTTTTCTTGCCAGTTCTACGCCAGTTGCATGCGGTAAAAAGGAGTACCTGGCCGCAACAAGAGCACAAAAGAGAACGTAGTCAAGATCCGGGGGAAGGTACACGCGATCTTCCATCGGCGGGACGTTGAATATATATTCTGCGAAAGCGATATATATATGTACGTGTATATGTATATATATATATATGT